CTAAATTACTGACAAAAATGGTCATTGATAAAGAGTTAATGGATATGTAAAGAAAAATATATGATGAGATGAGAAAAAACAAACAACGCTGGATATTAACAATGCACTATCAATGTTTCTTGATAAAGAAAATCTAGAAAGAATGATTATCAATAATGTAGGGGATTAAACTGCTTGAGCTGAGGCAACAGTGAATAAAGAACGGTAAATTGAAGCACTTTGTGAGTGGGTCAACTTACCCAAACACATACTATAGCCTACATGATATGAGATTAATTACATATTTACACATAAACGTAATATTACAATTTACTTCTGCACAAAATGAATGCCAATGATCATGATCGATGTTATTATCGCAGACTAAATAAAAGATGCATACCGGTAGTCAGATTAAAACAGACTACATTGAATTTTGTTGTGGAAATGACAAAATATTGACTAAATTGAAGGGATATTTTTTTGTCAAAAGACAAAAACAAGATAAATTAAACTGACCGCAAGTCATTTACAAAGATCTACAGCACCCTAAAGGAATAGTTCACTTAACCTCCTGAGACCCGAGAGTTTGCCTGGTGTGCATTTTATAATTGTTCTTGCTATTTGGGATAAGTAGGACCTAATAAATATAATAACTAAAATTTGTTTTTGTACAGGAAGTAGTTTTTGCAGAAAATGATGTCCTCATGTGAGGACAGTGGGTCTATGATTTACCATATGATGTCCTCGTATGTATGGAGGACCAACTCTACCATATTTAAAAATAAATACAGAAATAAATAAATGCTCAATAAATAAATAAGCATACAATTAATTGCCCCAAAAAATACAATAAACAAATAAATGTAGGTAGAAATTAAATTATACAGTGAGACATAAATGTATATATCTCTTTTAATTAGCTTCTTTATTTATTCACCTTTGTAATAATTACCTTATTTATTTATTGTTCATTATAATCTTCAACTTTATTTATTAATTACTTATTTTTTGAAGTATTTATTTATGTGCATGTTATAATATTTTTGTCTGTTTTATTCTTCCTTTGTATTTTTTTACCCTATTTATTTCTTCAATGCTATTTATTTCTGCCTGTCGTTTCTACATTTCTGTATGCATTTCTGCCTCATTATGCAAATGAGGAGGGGCTGTGTCTTAAGGGGTCAACTTCTGCCCATAGAGAGCCTAAGCCCCTCCCCTCCGCTTCCGGCTCATGGGACCTTATTTCGGAAAAAATATGTATGGTAGTCAATGGCGAGAGACAACTTATCTTTTTATTCCGTCTGAACTGTGCCCTGAATTACACATATGATGTTTGTCAATTTAAAAGATAATTATGAAAGTCAAGAAAGTCGCAGTTTGTCATAAAACAGAAGAGTGACATTTAGTTTTATGTGAAAATCGCTCAATGAACTAGGCCTACATCTCCCGGGAAGCGAAACAACGAGCGAGATCCGCTGCTCGTGTGTGTGCAGTCTGGTACAAAACACTCAGGCATGATGGCGTAACGTTACGATTATAACGTAAGACTATAGAACAAATGACAGACGTTAGCTTCAGTAAAGTTAGCTTCATTCATTGAGAGAAAATGTGCGCCTTTTTTAAAATGTATATTTTAAATTGACAATCAGGGATGAGTTCCCTAATGAATATTAATGAGTCTTCCCCTACCACCCTGCAAAAAAAAAAAAAAAAAAAAACGCGGCCGGTGGCATGTAGATTCGACCGATGCAGTAAAATGCTAACCAACCAATGGGCAGAAGTTGACCCCTTAAGACACAGCCCCTCCTCATTTGCATAATGAGGCAGAAATGCATACAGAAATGTAAAAAAGACAGGCAGAAATAAATGGCATTGAAGAAATAAATAGGGTAAAAAAATACAAAGGAAGAATAAAACAGACAAAAATATTATAACATGCACATAAATAAATACTTCAAAAAATAAGTAATTAATAAATAAAGTTGAAGATTATAACGGACAATAAATAAATAAAGAAGCTAATTAAAAGAGATATATACATTTATGTCTCACTGTATAATTTAAATTCTACCTACATTTATTTGTTTAGTGTATTTTTTGGGGCAATTAATTGTATGCTTATTTATTTATTGAGCATTTGTTTATTTCTGTATTTATTTTTAAATATGGTTGAGTTGGTCCTCCATAATAGAGACAGTTTTGTACATAAATACATTTGTTTCATTCATTTAATTTGAATAGATTTTTTTACCTGGGTCATTTTTCTTTCGGGAACTGGTGTAGAAGTGTTATGGTTATAGGGTTAGGGTCATTTTCTTCTCAATGACATTGGTGTAATGTTGTGATATCACTACAAGATGGTGTGGGCAGTGCCCCTAAATGTGGCCAACATGTCTAAGATTTACAAATTTGACTATCATTGTGTCAAGAGGCAAAAATTTAATGTCCTCATATGAGGCCGCAGGGTCTCAGGAGGTTAAGAAGGGGAATTCTATCATCATTTACTCACCCTCAAGTTGTTTCAAACCTGTATGAATTTCTTTCTTCCTGCTGAACACAAAGGAAGATATTTTGAAGAATGTCGGTGTGGCAAGCAGGACGAGGTCGAGGCCCGTGAGAAAACGGCGCGAGGCGGTGTGATTTTTCTAACGAGCGTCACCTGCGCGAGTGCGCGCCGCTCAGGCCTCATCTCACGGAGGAGCGAAGCATTAAGGGCTTAATGCTTATTAAGCATTAAACGCTTAATAAGCATTAAGCGTTTACTGTGACGACAGTAAAGGACCGGGCATGGACATTTACGTTATGTTCTGTTTAAGTGTGTGCACATGGTAGACAGTAGTCCGTGAGGGGTTACCATCTTATGTTTTGTGTTTGTTTCCTATGAAAGTTTGTTTGAACGTTCGCCGGTTCCCGCCTCCCTGAATTACTTACCTTGCTACAGTCGGTAACCAAATAGTTGATGGACCCCACTGACTTCCATAGTATTTTTTTTTCCTACTATGAAGTCAATGGGGTCCATCAACTGCCGGGTTACCGACATTCTTCAAAATATCTTCCCAAGTGTCGAGCAGAAGAAAGAATACAGGTTTGAAACAACTTGAGGCTGAGTAAATGATGACAGAATTTTCATTTTTAAGTCAACTGTTCCTTTACTCTTTATTTCTTTATTATGCAGATAACATTAAGAGTGTAGTATTCCCAGCTCTGGGAATTTATAAACTCTTTCCATGAAATTCCACAGATTTCTCCCTAAAATAAGTGGACAATGTTTAAACAACAAAAAACAACAACAACCTTACATAGCCTGACTCCACTGTTGAGGCAGCCAGAAAAAAATGCAATGTTAAAAACTCAAGACAGGGGCCTAAGATTCCAAACCAAAGTCGATAAATACGCTTTACCTGAAAAGACCAAAAATGGATGGTCACTCGCAAAAGTCGAATTTTGGACACTGATCCCCAGAATACTGGTCCAAACCAGGCTTTTAAACTACCCTAACCAGCAGCGTAATTAGGCCTCAGTATTATATTATGCAATTATACTATTGTGCCTGGAATATCCGTTCCTGATCCAAGAGAAAGGTGAAACTGGCAGGTGGAAGCATTTAGGGAAGACTCTGGAGGAAATATAACATACTGAATTACAGAACTATAGCATGGACCGCCAGTCATATAAGGACCGTATGGACACCACAAATCGCCATTAATGTATGATCGACACATGCTTTCCTCAAAATTTGAATTTAATCCAAGAAGATTTTTCAGCTATGCCTTCATTTTTCAACTAAGAATTACACACCTCTCGGTCAAACGGCTCTGAAGACATATCCACGGTGAAAAACCTGTAATCACTATGGTTACCGGACCTGCCTCTCTGTCCAAATACAATAATTTGGCTTCATCACATCGGACGGGTGCAGAAACCATATGAAGATGCCGTCTGAACATGTGAATAAGCAAACACTTCAGTCACTACAGTGTTCACACAGAAATGTAACGGGAAACGGTGAAATCACAGAGGCCTGGAGATACATTCCTGTGGTGGGTCATATTTAACAAGAACTCACTGCTGGAAAAGGTATGAGAGAAAGAGAGAGAGAGAGTAGAGTATTCAAAGACAAAATATTGTCATTTCAAGTTCAGCATTATAGTGAGGAGAGTCAAACATCAACATTACAATGTATTTATGAGCATTTCTTGCAAATATTTACATACAGCAATTCATGTGCAATAACAGTATGCAATATTGCGTAAATGCATTCTTGTGTATTATGGTTCTTGGATTTAGTACTGAATAGCAATAACTTGCATACAAATATCTATAAAACAGAGAAATGTGATTAATTCAAAATTAAAGTCCTCGAATCAATCAACTCATATGGGAGGATTTTGATATGTAGTGAATGGTTAAAAAATACACTATTACATATAACTGCCCTAAAAGACAGAAGACATCATTTCATGCATCTGGAAACTATACAATACATAATCTTCTAATAATCAGCTTTTTTTTTTTAAACAAATAAAAAGGAATGCATAAATGCTCAAAATTAGGAATTCTCTGTGGGTGTACATACAAACCCAGCGTTTCCTTCCACGTGTGCCACACACTTTCTGAAACTGAGGACTTTACCACCCAGTTTTTAAGCAATGAATACAAGACTAGACATCTGCGACCCCCTGGATGTTTCTCTAAAACAAACAGAACAGACTAAATAGTCCAGATCGAATAGTCCATAGTACAGATTAAACCAGGAGAATGGAAATATTCATTTGGCGTCGCTATTATTAATCGTCATACATTTTTTGGGGGAACATTTATTATTTCTAAATTTGTTCTTTTGTTCCATTTGTGTGCATGTGAAAACCAGCCATCTATAGTCACACCCCAATGACTCACTCGAAGGATTTTTAAACAATTTTTTTCCTTTCTCTGAGATGGACAGACATGTCAGGACAGTAAGTGTTACACTGTCCATGAGTCTGCAGGCGAACAGAAAGAAATGAACCTTTTCCATCGATTCCTCTCTATTCTAGTTATTTTTTACCCTGTGTTTATGCGTGTAATAGAGATTCATTGTGCCAATCTGTTTGATTTATAAACCCTTCAAAAACACATTTTTAAGTGGGCGGTCCAAATCAATAAAAGTAGTAAAATACAGATCCAAAACCTTGGTAACTATTATTCTGTAGAGACTGAGGGACGTGGAGAAACAGAGATAGAACTGAATTGAAGACAGATACATGTACCGAGAGCGAGGAAAGAGAGTTAACAAGTGACTGACAGTAGGAAAAAGTGGGATGCAAAGATAGACAGATAAAGACAGAATGGTGTTCCGCATGTTGCAGACATCAAGCGAGGGCATGTTGATGGAAATCTGTGTTCTACTGAGGTCTCATTCCAGCAGTTTGAAAGGTCGAGTTAGACTGATGAGTGTTTACCTCTCACTAAATAAGAAACACAGGCACTGGGACAAAACAAAGTAAAACATTACGAGAAATATACAAACCAAAAAGCAAACTGATCTGAGGTATAATGGAGTAATCAAGCTTTTTTATCCCTCTCCTGAATACAAACGATGAGCATGCCGTCAATAGAGTTCTTTAAATAAATGTCATCCCTAAGGCATATAAAGTTTTCCAGCCAGCATCCTTGTATGTGTCGCTCTGTTAAATGAGCAATGCTTTAAGTGTGATATGACTGTTTTCTTATGACACCTTTGCTTGTGTACGTGTGTGTGTTAACTAATCTAACCTGCACTATTTAGACACCAGTTTGTGGGTTAGAGAAGTGAGCAATATCCCCCACAGCCTCCTTGACCAGTTTGAGAGAGTTCAGACAGGGCAACTCCTCTTGTCTTGTGCACACTCTCCCACAAGCCAGGAGTCTGCAGGATTTTCTCCACCAGCTCCTCAAATGCACATTGAACACCATCCCTCGTCTTAGCACTGGCCTCTGCATGAATGAAAGAGAGAGAGAGAGAGAGAGAGAGAGAGAGAGAGAGAGAGAGAGAGAGAGAGAGAGAGAGAGAGAGAGAGAGAGAGAGAGAGAGAGAGAGAGAGAGAGAGAGAGAGAGAGAGAGAGAGAGAGAGAGAGAGAGAGAGAGAGAGAGAGAGAGTGAGAGAGTGAGAGAGTGAGACATGTGTACAAACACTACACAGACTATATCACCTGGAGAAATCTATGACATGAGACCAATCACTAAGGAGCCACAGAAAAATGACAACATGATAATGCTGATTGGATATCACCACAAAAACTTTAACTAGCTACTATCCTGAGTTGTGACGTCAAAGGCACCAGCAGAGATATAAGTCCATAATAAATCCATTTTATGATTGTCACTCCAAAATAGAATTAGACACTGTAAAAAAAGTATAACATATACTGTATTATACAGATATATTAGCAATTTATATATTTATATATGCACACACACATTGTTTAAAAGGTTTGGTCTTTAAGATTTTTTTATGTTTTTGAAAGAAGTCTCTTATGCTCACCAAGGCTGCAGTTATTTGATTAAAAAAAAAAAAAACAGTAAAACAGTACTACTGTTAAATAGTAAAATAACTGTTTTCTATTTCAATTTCATTGTTTTAATGTAATTTATTCCTTTGATAACAAAGATGAAGAATTTTCATTCTAAAATCATTTTAATATAAAATTTCCTATTATTATCAATGTTGCAAACAGTTGTGCTGCTTAATATTTTTGTGGAAACCATGATATATTTGTAGGATTCTTTGATGAATAAAAGTTCAAAAGAACAGCATTTATTTGAAATAGAAACAATGTAAAAGTATATTTACTGTTGATTTTAAACAGTTTAATGTCTCCTTGCTGAACAAATGTGTTCAATTCATTTTCATTTAAAAAAAATCTTACTGACTCCAAACTTTAGGTATGGAGTGCAAGAAACACTTGGGTTTTAATATTAAAAGTCAGTAGAAAGTAGAAGGGGATAGGAAACATTACATTTAAAAAAAAAAAAAAGAAGAAAAAAAAAGAAGCAGCATTGGACTCCAGCACATGGGCTGCGGCCATATTGTCCATCTGCAGATTTCATTTGGTGTGAGGGCTTCACGGCTAATTCAGACAGATTGCTGCTTACATACCCACTCATGAGGCGTGTCACATGACTTACAAACCAAACCCACAGCGCAGAAGAATGCAGGACGTCACCCACAAATACATATACAGGACTGTTACGATTACACAAGCTCAAATGAGAAATAAATCAGAACCATTGTAAAGTCTGACTTGAATTTACTGTCATAATAAATGAATGCTCAACTTATACAAATAATCCATCTTTCAATTAAATAACATAATCTTTGTTTTAAGCAAATGGGCCCAAGTGTTTAAAAATAGTAACCTGTGTGTATTACGGCCGTTGAATAAACTAGCTTACGTCAAAAGTCTGATTGTTCCATGTGTGAAGGTGATGAATCTTGAAATGAAATATGGGAACTGAAACCAAAGTAAAAGGGCAATGCATTCCTATTTAAAGCTAATGTTTTAGTAAATGAGGGTTCATGAGTAATTCATCACAGTATGAAGGGAACATCCTAGTGACAACTCACCTATGAAAAGCATGGAATGTTTTCTAGCAAACTTCAGACCCTCGTCTCGCTCTATCTCACGGTCTTCCTGCACAAAGAGAGAAAAATCAGTCATTGTTTTTTTATTAGAGTTACAAATACAGGAAGGGTTTTTCCATGTCCATTATTTAATCCAGAATAACTACTACTTTTCTGTAGATACATATAAAGCAGTGTAGAAATGAAGCTGAAATAGCAAACACAGAGCAGATCTGTCTGTCAGGCTTTATGAACTGGGTGTAGGCAGGTGTTTTAAAGAAATATATGGGAATATATAGGAAAATATATGACAATATATTGAAAGTCTGTATTAGCTATATATATAAATAAATAAAAATGCATAAAGTGTAACTTACCTTATCAATTTTGTTTCCCACAAGCATCTTGACAAGGTCGTTTCTTGTACAGTATGTGTCCAGCTCATTCAACCAATTCTCCAACTTAGCAAAAGTCTCCCGCCTAGTGACATCATACACTTAAAAGACACAATATGACAACAACATTAAATAGGCGATAGTTAAGTACACATTAAATTAGATTTATGCTTAAATCAGACAAATATAAATTACAACATTTGACACCATTCCATTTTATCAGACTGTAATTGCGCTGGTTACATAAACACTTTGGATCAATATAAAGCAGCAAAAAGTTTTCATGTTTTTTTTAATTGTATAGTAGTGAAAAAAACAGTTTTGTTCATGCTTGCTTACCCAGAATGACACCCTGAGCTCCTCTGTAGTAACTGGGTGTTAAAGTTCGAAAACGTTCCTGACCTGCAGTGTCCTGTAAACATTAAACAAAATCAGCCTTTAAGTGAAATGGTGTTAAAAAAAAGAAAAGAGTAGACTTCGTTAGGGAATGAAGGAAGGAACAACACTGCCATCTTGTGGTATGTTAGTGAAACACAGCCAACCGTTTATACATGTATGTCCCATTCAGTAATGTCCAAACTAATACCTGTTTTCCTGGAGAATAAATGTCTAACTAACTAACAATCAAAAAGAGTGGAAAAATAGTTAACCTAACCAAAACATAAATCGGTGCTCCTCTAAACTCATAAGACAGAGAGATAAACATAGTTGACTACTCACCCATATTGCTAGCTTTGCTCTGTTTCCATCCACAGCCAGGGTTTTCACCTTAAAATCAACACCTTAATGGAAAATCAATTTATCAGTTTAAAACACATTGAAAAGAAATGTTGTGTATGTGTGTGAAACAGACACATTAGCAAATTTGTACAGGAAAAATATTTCTAAAACAATTCAAAATAGGGAAATACAGTCTAGATGCTTTATGAGGTTTATGGTAAAACCATACATATTTAGTGAGGCAGATTTAATTTTTGATGGGCCCAGATATTTGTCCGGCAACAAACCCAGAGAGACTAAAGTTAGAAAGACCAGAATTTACAGCTGAATGGGGAATTGTGGGTTTATTGCATACTGATAAAAAAGAAAATAGGACGACTCGACCACCTGTCTTATCACTCAACAAAGCCACATCACTTACAAACATAAGTGATTTACATTCATAAAAGAAAAATGAAAGTATGTGTAAAGTTGACAGGGGAATAAATCTCTCAGCACTCTGTGAATGAAAGATCTGGAGGCATGAAATACTCCTGCATTTCAACACAGCACTGACAGATTTACCAGAGGAAGCCAAAGAAGGAGATCTGGACTGTGGTTTGGTTTGGATTGAATTGGGGGGCTTTGAAAAGAAAACGGCAGTCACACCAACACACGTCAACCTAAATGTGTCAAAGTGACGGCCACGGCTTTGGCAACTCATTCATTTCCATAACATATAAGGTAAGAACCAGTAGATTATACATTGATCTCCATTGTAAAGACACTAGTGAAAAGTGTAGCTGTCAAACAGGATTTGACAAGCATAATATACCTTTTTCAATATTTAAAATGGTACTTTTTGTTCCAGATTTTCAACAATGCCAGCAAAGCTGTTTTTCAAGTAAGACCAGCAGAGACTTCACTTCAGAGGTTTAAACCTCTGTTTTTATGTGTGCTGGGCCTCTATCATCATTACCTTATTTATAGTCATATTTGACTTAACACACTTACCAATTGTTGCACCAATTTCTGGATCAAACGTATCATCTGTAAATCTTAAAAGAAGACTGAGAGAGAGAGAAGAGGGGAAAGGAAATGTGGTTAGCAGCTTAGTATAAAGCATTATAAAAGAGACAACTTTTCTTCTTAATAGAAACAACCAGACATTTACAAAGTTGCCCACATCTGCATATATATGTTATATGTGTAATGGGAATTTGAGAAGAATAGATCAATTCTTTAAATATTTACAAACATCCAGAGCCTAATGCTAGGTGAGATGGTTTTAATAAGCTAGAGTTCTAAAGCTAGGTGAGATGGTTTTAATAAGCTAGAGATCTAGGTGAGATTGTTTTAATAAGCAGTGTGTGAGTTGTTGTTGCTGTTATTCTATTAGCTGACATCTGTAAACCAGAAGTCTCTTAAATCTCATACCTGGATTTGCCCACCCCGCTTTCTCCAATGATCAGTATTTTCAGAGTGGTCAAAATATCCTCATTCATCTTTACAGGAAAATTCCACTGCGTGCTAAAAAATACTGTCGATGTAAATAAAATATTAAAATGGAAGGAGAAAACTATTATTCGAGGGTTAAACGTTTCTCTCTTCTTCGGTAAAAATCTCTCGATGGTGGTAAACATTTGAGAAACACAGTTCTGCCCTCTAGCGGAGTTTTCCATTTATTTGCAGACATTTGTAGATAACAATTTACAAAGTACAATCGTTTAATTTGTTAATTTCAAAATTTTGTTCCTAACATACAAATGTAAATCCCCCAATATTTCTATAATTTTTTTAATTAAATTTAAAAAAAATCTTTATTTAAAAACGACTCTTTATTTGAAAATTAGTTTCACTACTGATTGATCCATTCCATTCAGCGATGAGAAAAGTAACAGATACCAAGTGATAAAGCCACATAAATTGAGCAATCTGAATATTCTGCACTTAAACAGTCATTGCCAGTGAGTAATAAACTTTAACTGCAGTTGAGATAAAAAATACAGAGGAGTTAAAATATGAGAATTGTTTTTACACAAATCGAAATGGGCAGATAAACATATCTGTTATGGTAAAACTTGTTATTTTGATTGTTTAATCTGCGTACGCATGAGGTCGCCAGTGTTCTGTGTGTCACTCACTGGACGCCAGAATTACTCTGTGTGGGATCTGTTTGTCACAATTAAAGGGAACTTTACATCTTCCTCATCTTATTAGACTCTGTGACTAGATCGTTGTGAAATAAAATCTGAGGAAAATTTTTAATATAATCAGTATGGTGGCATGAAAACACAGCCTATGAGTGCCATGGTGCCTGCCTGATGTACGTTGCATCTGCACAAAAAATGCATTGAAATCGATTGAAATGTGCGTAGGCAATTTTCCATGCACATATCGGGATTTATTAAAATTTGCACAAATTGCATTTATAGCCTGCTAGCTCATATTTTCCTAATGTCTTGTAGATTTTTTTTAATATATATATTATTAAATGCTTGAAGAAAAGAATCACGTAGATGGGAATATACGGCAATTATGCCGAGTTTAAAACTAGGCGTTTTAAGCATATGGTCATTTCGGGGAGGAGATGCATGTACGCACAATCTACTGCTGACTGGGTTTTATAAAGGGAATTTTGCGCAGGTTCTGTGTCGTACGCATTGTTCTATAATAAATCTGAAAACTTTTGTGCGTATGCAAACTTTAGGATGAAATATGCGCACATGAGACCCCAGGTCATTGGGACTGTAAATAGTTTCATAAATATGAAAATGTTGCCAGCTGTGGTCTATCACGGCATTTACAGTGAATACACACATTGGTACATAATCATACACACACAAGCACATTTTTAAAAGCAGTTTATTTCTATGTACAGTCCTTTTGTTGCCAAGTTGACAACAGTCATCAGCAAAATAAAACTAAGTAATACATAAGGTGCAAAACAAACAATTCAGTCTTTACTCCAACCCTCAAAGCAAAATGACATTTAAAGCAAAACTGTTCACATTCCACATTACTTTATTTCTGCAAAGTGAGGCTGAAAGCAGACTGAACCTAAAGGTTTTATTTTACAGTTTTACTGTGTCAAATCAGTAAATCACTCTGACCAAAGAATAAGCAGTTGTGCAGAAAGATTGAAGCATCCCATCTACTTTGAACTGGAGACAAAGATAACTTCTAAAGAGATTTCTCTACATACCAAGGTTTCATCCAGAGCTGACTTTTACAAAATGACTGGATAAAGAAAAGCTCTAAAGACCTATGGGCCCCCAAGTAGAAAAAGTACAATTATATTTACACAGCACCCGGCGTGTAGCGTAGCTTGAAAATATGTAGCCTCAAATCAAAAGCTGACGATTACTGCAAAATAAACAGAGTTATAAATGTGCCTTGAACATTAATATCTAAATTAAGCACCAAGACTCCATGATCTGGCTGAATTAGGAGTGAATGGTTTAAGCATTGCTTAAAAGCACCATTTTCAGTATGTCAGGTGACTGGACTTTTGAGTGGTCAAAACATATCAGGATGCTATAGCCTGAACTTTTCATTCTTTTGTTTAACCAAACATTTGGTTTTTGGAAGCAAATAGATTACTTACACCTGCACATGCACAAATAACAACTGAATGAAACTTAACATACTGTATGCACGCTTCTTTGTGCAAGCATACAGTGCATGTTTAACTGTCAGTGTATGACGCATTGCAGTTTCAGTGCAGTGGATGCAGTGTGTTCGGTGGAGGGGAAGTGCTGTACTTTCAGACCCAGTTTCCAGAGCAGTCGGCCAACAGAGGACCACACCCTGGCCTGAGCTGCCCTGTTCCCCATGGGCTGTTGTTAACATACCCAAAAGTTTGGCCTGACCACTGGATTGAAAATAATGGGCCAGACACCGAGGAGGAGGAGACAACGCTGGTAAAATACTTTCATCCAGATTACGCTTTTTCTGAAAAGAACAAGCTTTGAGTGATCACGTTCTTTAATTTACATTTATCTTAAGACATAGCTGCTCTCTACAACTAGTGTGAAGCCAAATGAAAGGCATTACTAAACATCAACAGACAAACACAGAAAAGCTTATATTTACTTAAACATTTACAAATAAATACTTGGAGATTTTGTCTTCCATTAATGGCTTCTTGTTGAAGAAATAAACAGACTTATAGACTTTTAAGTGATTACCAACTGAGACCAGTGAGCTTTGCGCGCATAATATTTAGATTGTAAGTTATGGACCATAATCTGACATGTTCTGTGTTCATGTCATGATAACGAAGAAATCTCTTCTGCTGCAAGGCTGCATTTATTTGATCCAAAACACAGTAAAAACAGTAATATAATGAAATGTTATTACAATGTAAAATAACTGTTTTCTATTTTAATATATTTTAAAATGACGTTTATTCCTGTGGTTGCAAAGCTGAATTTTCAGCATCATTACTCCAGTCTTTAGTGTCACATGATCCTTCAGAAATCATTCTAGTATACTGATTTAGTGCTAAATAAACATTTCTTATTATAATCCATGTTGATTATTGTGGAAATTGCTAAAAAAAATGTAGGATCGTTTTATAACATTATAAATATCTTAACTGTCACTTTCGATCAATTGAATGCATCCTTGCTGAATAAAAGTATTAATTTCTTTAAAAATAAAAACAAATATTACTGACCTCAAGCTTTTGAACGGTGGTGTTTTTGTATTGTTATAGTTTACTACTGAAATTTGGTATTGTGGCACAGCTGTTGGCCCCTCATTTGTAAGTCGCTTTTAATAAACCTGATACATGTAAATGTAAATTAATAGCTCTAGTCAAACCATAGTCCAATGATAGTGCTATAATGATAAAACGGCACCGGACTCAGTCAAAGTCTTCCAGAATTCATTCTGGAAAATAGTGTCTATGGTTCAGTCAATTAAATTTCAACATTACTCATATATGGACAAAATTAAATAAATAGATATAATGAAATTGAAAAGTAGGAGGAAAAGAACTTATGTGCCAGATTTCATCTCCCATTCCTGCAAAAAAAAGAAAAAAAGAATACAGATTGAGTTCATAGGGGAAAATATATGCACTGTAAACATTCTAAAGTAAATGCAATTGAAGGCTCATGCTTTTATTACATATGTGATGTGTAAAATAAGCGTTATGTAGTTACTGACCTTGGCTTTCCTGAGGACGTGTCCTCGCACAGGTGAGGCTTTCTGTTGTGTCTGGCGGCGCAGCAGAGACGCGCTGTTGACTGGCAGAGAGCAGGTCTCAGTGTCACTGGTGTCACAGCTGGAGATGGGCGAGTTGTCCACCGTTCGCCTCATTAACACTGGAGACTAAAGACAGACGAGGCATTTTGATACTTGCTTTTCTTTATCACCAAGAACTGAGCGCGACACAAACCTACAGTTAGCATTACATCATGTCTATATTGGAGAAATTGTTGCTGTTTTTCCAGACCTGTGGGCTGGAGCTGCCCGTTTTGGGTTCAATGGTCAGGCCCAGGGTGACGCCACCATTCAGGGCTTTCTTCAGACTCTCCTTCACCTCCGTCAGTTCCAGCTCCAGACTGACTCGTTCATCCTCTTTTAGTTTGCATTCATCCTCCACTTTCTTAAGTCTCTCTGTCAAAGATGCCAGAGAACGCTTGCCTGGGTGGAATAAACAGAGGGTGAGGTTATAGCTGTCATTTAAGAGACAATTTGCACTAATGCTGCATCTCATTTTCAATACTGCTGCTGAATTTAAAGTCACATGGCAAAACATTTGTGTGCCAAATCAAACGTGGTACAACTAATGAGGAGAGTCATAACAGGGAAACAAAAATTAAAGAGAAAATGATGTCACACCTGAAAAACCTTCATGACTGTATGTCAAGGGCAGCAAGTCTCCAAAAATATCAGATAATTGTTTTTTTTTTATAACAAGGCAATGTTAGTTCAGGTTGTAAATGGCCGTGTGGTATAACCCTCAAATAACTTACCGGTAATGATATTTTATTTATGAATGAATACACTTTTACATTAAAAATAAACAAAAAAAAACTTTTAAAAATAATGATTAAAATGTGTATTTAAAGCTGCTGTCCGTAACTTTTTTAAGTTAAAAATAATCCAAAATAATTATATTAAAAAAAAACATATTCTGCCAGTGGTCAAAACTATCTGCTTGCCATAGCTAGATTCAAAACGGTTAGCTTGTAATAATGATTTTAATTCCAGTGGTACTGGTGGGTTTCCGCGGGAAATTCGAGCATGTCTTTGCGTCATGACGTCACACCCGTACACATAAAGAAGGAGTTTCGGCTAGCCGGCTATACTGCGCGTGACGAGATGTTTAGATGTATAGGCTTTTCTCGCAGCACTTTACATAATTAAACTTATGGCATCCAGAAAGATCCAAACAACAATCATCAGTGTCAACTGGAGATTCGGCAGTTATAAAACCCAAAAGACTTCGTACTTCGGATTTAAGGTGGCTAGAGAAAGAGAAAGAAACCGTCTCATGCGAACACAAGGATTTAAACATCGGCGGGGCTTTTGAAAAGTGCGTGAACTCCGTGTTTTGAAGGGGTTCAAAACGGAAGAAGAGACGGCTTTTTTCTGTTGAACAAGTAAGACATTTCAATAGTTCAATCGTGTAACAGTACGTTTGCTTAATTCACAGTTATGGAGTTTCCTTTGTTGTGCCTTTCTCGTTTTGCTTTTATGGAGAATATGAATTCTGAACTAGCTACACAGGTAACCATAAAACACATTAAATTTTTAACATTAGTCACGCTATGCTGATGTGATGTTGTTAACATGAACAATTTGAGAACAAAGTAGGCTATAATTTGCACGGTTGCTGTAAATCGCGTTGATTAAATCTAACGAAGCTTATCATGTCGAATGCTTTTTCCCCCTTAGTTGGTCAGAACAAAAATGGATGTTACTAACTTGTTCAGAAGACATTTTCTTATGAAAATTCTTATGTTGGTCAAACTTTCAAAAAGTGAATCTGTGACTCTGAATGCCAGTAGCACACAGCGCGGTGACTGACAGCACCAATCGCCTCAAAGCACTGTGTTCATCCGCGCTGTTTCATGCTGATTCACAACCCACGTAAAGATGATAATTCCGCGAATCACTGCAGTTACAGATTTCGAACAGAGAGATGGCGACAAAGAGCAAAAGCTACGGACTGCAGCTTTAAGGTATAATGAAAATATGTTTTTACTTTTGCACATGAAGGTTTTACTAAATCCATAAGAAACCAACATAAATACAAAGAGTACATTCTAAATACACTACAGTTTAAAAGTGTGGGGTCGTTTATTATAATTATCAATGTTGAAAATAGTTGTGCTGCTTAAAGGGATACTTCACCAAAAAATGGAAATTTTGTCATCATTTACTCACAGTTGTTTGGCACCATTGACTTCCATAGTAGAAAAAAAAAATACTATGGAAGTCAATGGTGCCAAACAACTGTTTGGTTCCAAAAGTTCTTCAAAATATCTACCTTGGTGTTCAGCAGAAGAAAGAAACTCATACAGGTTTGCAACAACTTGAGGGTGAGTAAATGATGACAGAATTAAAAAATTTTGGTGAAGTATCCCTTTAATATTTTTGTGGAAACTATGATGCATTTATTTTTTTAGGATTTTTTTCCTCAAAAAGTCAAGTCAAGTCACCTTTATTTACATAGCGCTTTTTACAATACAGATCGTTTCAAAGCAGCTTTACAGTGATAACAGGAAAACGATGCATTTTGGCTGTTGTTCAGCTGAAGTCAGTTTAGTGTTGATTCAGTTCCGTTGTAAACTGAATCTATATGAAATCTATCATTTCATCTATAAAGCAGTTCTGTAAAAAATGATGTCATCAATGATATACATTATTTGAAATAAAAATATTTTGTAACATTATAAATGTCTTTACTGTCACTTTTGATCCTTTGAGCCTTGCTGAATAAAAATACTAACTTCTTAAAAAAAAAATATTTTTGACCCCAAACTTTTGAACGGTAGTGTATAAGGAAACTATGTTTAACTTACTTTTCACTTGATGGTTAAAATCACAATTTTAGAATATAAAACTTTTGTTAAAAAAGTTTTTTTTTTTTTTAAATCATATGAAAATAACATGAATACAAAGAGCTAATTTTTACAAACTTTTTTAAAATAGACTTCCTTTTTGTAACACTCTCATTTGTCATTGACACTGACACAGATTCAATCAAACTCAAATGCCATACAGTATCCTCACCTGTGTTGTTCTCTATAGCAGTGCGGAGGTCCTTCCTCTCTTTTTTCAGCTGGGTCAGGCGGTTTCGAATCTCCTGCTTCCTCTTCATCAGCTCATCCTCTTTCGTTTGGAGTTTCTTGGCATCTGCTTCCACTCTGTTTTTCCCGTACTTATACTGATCCACACCTGTGAAGGTTAATGATGCATTATAATTAAAGTAAACCATTAGAAAATCACTCCATTTTAAACATTTGGATCCAGATTTTTCTTATGGCATTAAAGGCCTCTGAGACCACAAACGCAGATTAAAAGGCAGGCAGAATGTACAGTGTACCAAATTCAAATATTTGCGAGTCCACGTAAATGGGCACTGGATAGTTACGATGTCTGTGACTGACTGACTGCCTGTCTGAAATGGAATTTGGGGTGATTGAGTTTACAAAAGAGCATGTCAACAGATCCACTGCTGTCCACTGCACTGCAATTTCCACATACCGGCATTCTCCACAAATCTGTGTGGCTTCTTTTTCCTTGAAAGAAATTAGTGGTGTAATAGCTAGGATAATGGATGCAGACTTAATGTCTGCTTAGTTTTGTTTCAGCGAATGTCCAGTTATAAAAAAGGAAGAGCTCATTTTGAGATTATCTATCAGATGTGCTCTCGTATGTTAAAATCTCTTACTAGAGTTGTTGCGTTTCACTGGCAGAGTGCTGCTAATTCCATTGGCCTTTTTGGGCTGGTTCTTGTCCAACTTCTGCTTTGCAGCGAACCCATTGGTGATCAGGCCTTTCTTTCCTTTCAGCTGATTGGAAGAAAGAAACGCATGTGAGCTTTTGAACACAAAAAAGGTCAAATTGATACGTGGGCTACTAAGAAACTGATATATAAGAACTTTGATTTCGCTGTCAACACCTGTTACATTTTAAGTGTGTGATTTGTGATTTAGTTCTAAGATTGATACTTCATAACAGATACTTTTACAAAGGTTTCTTCTGCAAACCACATCTATTGAACCACACATGTTGCTAGAGGGGACATTTTATTTGAGTTATACTATAAGCTGGCAGAAATCCTTTTTTCTATCCCTGACCTATCCAATTCAAGGCCATGGCCACACAGACATGGGTATTATATAGATCAAAAGCAGTCATTTCTGGAGCTGGGTGGTCCATAATGCAAGCACTATGCAGCATACACTGTGTTTATTTCCATTCTATGTTTGGTAATAATATTAACTTCAAATAGGAATGAGATAAATATATCCACTGTTTAATATATACTGCAAGGCTCGACACTAACGCTTTTGTGTGCTTGTTGAAGGGGTAACTGAATGAGAATTTGACTTGCCCAACTGGACAAGTAGCCTGATTAAAACATCAACAACAAAAAATAACTAGGGAAGCACCGAAACTTGGGCCACCAAATATATGAGAATGATTCTGATTTTACTGGTGGTAACAAGGTTGAGGCAGTTGAGGGTTGCACTTGCTTCATTCTTGAACGAATCAGTTGTTTAAACAAATTGTTTAAATGGATGAACGAAGGACTCAATGACTCACTCATTAAGACAGTAATTTGCCACTATTGGCGGTTTAGATTTATATTTAAAAGTATAATTGCATTTTTTCCAACATTTCATATTTGTATATATACATATAAAATATATATATATATATTTAAAACATTAATTTCATAGCATTATTTATGCGCTTTTAAAAGTGCAGTGTAAATGTATTCATGAGCTTCATTAAACAGTCTGTTTAAATAAATCAAAATGCTTCAGATGCAGCTTGTTTCCTCTGCAGTGGAAAGATGAATTTCATTTGATTGGTAATAGCCCCTTAGTGTCTTATTATTCTAAATGTATTGATTGATACAATTTAAGAATTTGACATGAAAGATAAAGTAAACATTTAATAAGGAAAATTGCTTTATAAAAGGTAAAACATTTACTGTAAATCCTCTAAACAATGCTGGGTTGTTTTAACCCAAATTTGGGTAAAATATGGACAAACCCAAATGTTGGGTTAAAAATGTAATTAAAAATTTTAACCCAACTTCAAATTTCACTTTCAACTGAAAATGTTTTAATTGCATTTTTAACCCAACATTTGGGTTTGTCCATATTTGACCCAAATTTGGGTTGAAACAACCCAGCATTTTTTAGAGTGGGCAAATATCACAAATATGCTGATTTAAGTATACAAACTGATAGAACACTGATAAGAATATTACTTCAGTAAAAATAAAAGTTCAACTAAAAATGAAAATGATCCCATAATTTACTCACCCATAAGCCATCCTTGGTGTATATGACTTTCTTCTTTCAGCCAAACACAGTCGGAGTTATGTTAAAAAATATCATGGCTCTTGCAAGCTTTATAATGGGAGTGAATAGTAACTGAGATTTTGAAGCCCAAAAAAGCACATCATCCATCATAAAAAGTAATCTATACGGCTCCAGGGTGTTAATAAAGGCCTTCTGAAGTGAAGTGAAGCTTTCGGTAACGTCCGTCTGCACGTTTACGCGAGAGAGTCAAGTTCCAGCATATGACGTAGGATGCAGGAGTAGTGTAAACTTAGGTGTAAGTAGATGCCTCTCGCGGGCTAGGCAACAAACTGAAACTTATCCGTCATTTCCCTTTAAAGATTCCCGTTTTAGACTTCCAATTTGTGACCAGTGTTTTGTTTTTCTCTATCCTCTGCACCAGAGCCATAGAGAGAAAGAGTTGTGACACTCCCATAGACCGCCATAGGAACTTTGGAATGCGGAAGTAACGCGTGTCGTGGAGCAGCCAATAGTTCCAAACACTGATAGTTCCAGCATTGAACCCCATTCATATTCAGTGCTTCCGAAGTACGCTCGCTGATAAATTAATGAAACACATTAGCCGACCTCTCGTGAATCTAGTCTGTAGTATATAATATTTTTAATAATATTTTATATGTATGTATATATAGCCTATATATAATATTATACATACACACACACACATACACAATTCATTTATTTAAATGGGTTAGGGTTATGCATATATGTGCTTATATGTATTTAGGAACATAGTTAATTCACTCATTAACTATCTCTCCGGTTTAATTTTATGAAGAATATTTTTCGGTTGAATATTTACCGAACATTGCTGTATATAGTCGTTGCTTTCTACGTTATGGGAGCAGTCTATTTCCCTCCTAAATCGTTCATTTGTACATGCACAGCGTAATTATTTATATTTTATGTTGGTTGGAGTTCTGAACGGACTGCAGACCTCTTTGCGTGATCACGAAGTTAGGCTAATGGCTGAATCGGAATTTATAAGCAAGATCACGGGAATCAATAGCCTAATACAGCCCAGTTGTGCTAAAATAAATATCATGAGACGTCCATCATCAGATGAATGACATGGAAAAGTTAAGTTAGAGCCGCTAAAGCCAGTGCTACTACCCATGCGAACATGAACACTAAGCTTTTCCCTCCAAAATTATAGCCTAAAACTTATCTAAGTTGTCACCCTGCCTCTCCAAATGCAAAACTGACATTAACAAAATGCAATAACAGCTTAAAAAGTACTTGGGTGTGTGTTTTATTTTATATTTACCGTTTAATAATGCAATCGCTGCTGTCTGTCCATAGAAGAACATGACAGCCCGCGTATGTTTTGGAACTATTGGGGCTTACATGAACCACGTGACAGCCGTCGCGGCGACATCAAAGCGTGTCGCAACTCTTTCTCTCTATGGCTCTGCTCTGCACCCAATTCATACGTTGGGTCAGAGGTCACTCTTCGGCCGGAACTCGACTCGAGCACGGAACCCAGTGATTCTAGTTTATAAAGTCATAAATATGGATATTTTTCTTACAAAAATGCACCGCTTCACTTCAGAAGGCCTTTATTAACACACTGGAGTCGTATGGATTACTTTTATGATGGATGGATGCCTTTTTTTCAAAATCTCAGTTACTATTCACTCCCATTATAAAGCTTGGAAGAGCCAGGATATTTTTTATTATACCTATGATTGTGTTTGGCTGAAAGAAGAAAGTCATGTACACCTAGGATGGCTTGAGGGTGAGTAAATTATGGGTAAACTAACCCTTTAATCTCAAGCCCTGTACTGTGTTAGACTGGGTTAGTCACCTGGTTAGTTTTAGTATTAGCAGCTGAGGGAGAGGAGGAAGAGGACAGAGATTTGGTGGAGAGCGGTGTGTTGTAATGCCCTGTGGAAAATGACGGGCGGGTGGATTTGGGGGAGTAGCGTGTTGCTAGTTTGGGGGAGGGCATGTTTTCATAAAGGTCTGTATTCTCATAATTAGACTCTTCTTTCCAACGATGGTCCCCTGAAGCTGGGGTGGAGTAGTGCGCATCTGGTACCTTCCGTATCGCAAGCGTGCAAGCAAGAGAAAAGTGATTAGAAGAGAAAGAGAAGAGAGAAGTTAGGGAGGATCAGGAACGGAGAGGAGTTAGGCAGGATTAGAAATGAAGGCGAGAATTTAATGGATTTAAAGGTTGTGAAGTTGCATACCGATCCATTGATGCAGGGCACATCATCATAATGCAGAGCGACCCCTGAGGGGCAGGCGTAACCATTGACCGGGTTATCCAGGTATGGGTTTGGAGAAACTGCACGCTTACTGGTGAAACTGAGAACACATACATACGTTCATTACTACCTGTACATATACAAATGTCACAGAGAACTCCAACTCTAACTTTAAACAGTACCGTTGGGGAAGATACTTCAAAACTGTAGCTTGAAAAGCTACAAGCCACTCGAGAGTCAAGTACTTCAAACTATAGTCAAGCTACTATAAAAAAATTTACAAAATAACATATAAAAACAGTAGCTATTAAAAGGGTGAATATATTTTAAAAATATACATCACCGTTTAAAAGTTTGGTCTGTAAGAAATTTTTACGTTTTTGGAAAGGGTGCATTTACTTGATAAAAAATGATATTGTAAAATATTATTACAATTTAAAATAACTTTACATATTTTAAAATGTAGTTTATTCCTGTGATGGCAATTTTGAGCAGGCATTACTGCTCAAGAAACATCTCTTATTATTATCAGTGTTAAAATAGGAATAAGATAAAGATATCCACTGTTTAAGATATACTGCAGGGCTCGACATTAACACTTGTTGAAGGGGCGAGTGAATGAGAATATCACTTGCCCAACAGTTGTACTGCTTAATATTTTTCTGGAAACTGTGATACATTTTTCAGGATTCTTTAATGAATAGAAAGAAAAGACCAGCACAGCATTTAGAGAAAACTTTTGTAACATTATAAAACTCTTTACTGTCCTTTAATTGTTTATTCAATTTAATGCATCTTAGTTAAGAAAAGTATTCATTCTTGTAAAAAAAAAAAAAAAAAAAAACTTTTTAAATGGTAGTGTACAAATATGAAACATATTTTATATATACAGTATTATACATATATATATACAGTAGTCAACAAGTCAACTTTTTTGATCCACTTCAAATGTTGACTACTGTATATATCATGATATATAAATTAATGACAGAAATATTTCTCTAGGAAGAGAACGAACATATTTCAATTAACGAACTCTCTCCAAATGAACAAGTTGAGTAAAATAAACCAGACTTTCCAAAACTATATTGTACGATAGAGTTTAAGAGAGCATGTTTATTACCTCAGCTCACTTGGCTGTAAAGCTATGTCTGCAATACATTTACATTACATTTACATTTACTCATTTAGCAGACGCTTTTATCCAAAGCGACTTAAAATGAGAAAAAATTTTTTTTTATAAAGATAATAGATATAGATTAGAAGATAAAGTGTTAGTATCAATGGATCAAATGTTGCCGAAAAAGATGCGTCTTCAGCAGTTTCCTGAAAATGGCCACGGACTCAGCATCTCTGCTTGAGTTGGGCAGGTCATTCCACCAGCATGGAACAGACCAGAAAAAGGTCAGAGAAAGAGATTCTGTGCCTCTTTGAGATGGCACCACAAGACGGCGTTCACTTGCAGAGCAATACATTGTGACATGAAAAATACTACTGCTACATGTTGAAAAAAGTAGGCTAGGAAAAAGTTACTAGCATGCTAATAAAAATATTTTTAGCAATACTGGCTTCTCACCAAAATGACTGCTTGGCCAGTTGAATGACATTCGCAGTGGTCTCTACGTCAATGTAATCGTAGTGCAGTGCAGCAGGATCTGTAGTGGAGCCCGTTTCGGCCAACAAGACCCCTAACCACCTTCCCATACTCTCAGAGGATGAGGCCTGATGGAGAAAAGAGTGAGGAAAGACGCAATTAATGAGTGTCAGTGGAATATGAGACAAATAAAGCACTAATCTATGCAATCTCTGCAAATCCACTCAACACATGATACACCACTGACATCATTACGAGAGCCAGCCAACCTAACCATCCATCTAATCCCTGCCCTGAGGTCCAGTTTCAGACACATTAATTGCCCCGCAAGAGCTGAGGCACTTGGCCCGTACCTCCAGAACAGCCACCTCCTGTCCGTTGCGCAGCAGACGGAAGGCGAAGGGATGTTTGGAGTCCAGCCCTGGAATGACCTCACACCCCCGTAGCGGCAGAGAGGCCATGTGTGTCTTCAGATCTGCCCGGTCTTTGTGCAGCAACAGCTGGTTGTCTTTTAGCTGGCACCAGCGCTCTCTCCAGCGGTTATTGGACAGCACGTTCAGATAGCCTGTTAATGAAGGATTGGGTCGAGAGATTTAAATGACAGCCAAGAGACACACAAACAGTATGGAAAGTTGTTGTTGACAGGGGTAGGGATGGGGAAATCAATATTTAAAAAATTGCAGAATTTATATTTTCAGTTGATTTTTCATATTCATATTTTTAGGGAAAAGGGATAATAAAACTATGAATATACACTTCCTATGAATATACTTCCTATGAATAAAACAAACTATGAATATACACTTCCATTTAAAATGAAATATTACATAGATTTTTTTTAAGTACGTCCATGAAATCAAGTTAAAACCGTCTAAACACAACCTACACATCCCAGAATAAACACTCCTGATAAATTATTTGTTATTAAAGCATATCAATTCACAAAGCACTGTTAATTAACAGAAAAGAAAGCATAGGCTACTGCATGCCTGATGTGATTTGGCATGGCAGAAAGCGTGCAAAGAGCGCTCCCTTTATAATGACAAAAAAGCTGTCACTCATTTTAGTTAATCGTGATCTCACAAAGTTCCGTTATAATCACTGAAGCTGTCTACACTGCACAATGAATCATTTATTTACATCATGTCTACACTTTGTTTGTTATAATGAGAGGATTTGCAAGTGTGCAGATCTCCGCACTGAACAAAAACTGCCGTTTTGAGCGGTGAGTGGATTCTAACATAAACACCTCTGATTGGCCATTGCGTTCAAGAAATCAACAGATATGTTTGGGATTAGCTACAATGCTCAACGCTGCAAAAACATGTTGTAAATAGAAACCTTTGACGCTCTCCAGGGCGCAAATACAGATACGCACTGGATCGTTTGCCAAATATGTTTCGTTAATATTTTATTATTACAAACCAGCAGTTGTGGGCAGCTTTTTCTTCTAAAAGCAATCAGAAGCAACACTGGCAAGGAACGAGCAGAGCAAGCATTTTCAATTAAATGTTGAAGTTGAGCTTTACACTCACGCAGTGAATTGACAGTGGACCGGAAAAAGCATTGAGGGCAGCCGAGAGTGTCAAAAGGTGGGGCAATTCTTGACTTTATGCAAATATCAAGAGAAGAATGCAGGGCGGCCGCCAATCACTGTGAGGTTCAGCTAGAAACATTTGCCTTGAACGTTCAAAAATATGCAGATTGTGCCGGAGTTTATGCTGGATTAAGTGCGTAAATAAATTGTTTTCAAATAAATGCTGTTCTTTTATTCATCAAAGAATCCTGGAAGACTGGAGTAATGGCTAATGAAAATTCAGCTTTGCCATCACAAGAATAAATAATATCTTAAAATATATTAAAATGAAAACAGTTATTATAAATTGTAATAATCTTTTGCAATATGACTGAATTTACTGTATTTTTGATCTAATAAATGCAGCCTTGGTGAGCATAAGAGTCTTATTTCAAAAACATTAAAAAAATGGTACCAACCTACAAACCTTTGAATAGTAGTGTATATGAAAATGGTATTGCAACCGCTCACCACATGTTGGGACATCCTCCTCCGCTGATGAGGTCTGTTCATCTGTAGATGGTTTCTTCTTGCCCAGGCTTATGATTTTAGTGATTTTCTTTCCAGTCACACGTCCCACAGTTCCTTTCTGATCAGATTTAGAGTTCTTCTTGCCTTTGGCTGCAAAAAAAGGCAAATTAGTGTCAGAGATTGAAATATATGTATGGGATTTTATAATGTGATATATTATACAGATATGCTAGATATCTAGAAACCCATTGGTGTTTCAACTATAACAAGAGATTGGTTTGGAAAACATTTTGTTTGTGAGAAGTATTTGGTGGGAAAAAGACTGAATTATGGAAAATGACAAATGGCAATCTGTTCACTTTAAAATGTTAGTAATTTAGGACAGAGAGAAAGGGGTTGAACTGACAATGACTGGACACATGTCTACATACTAATCTAAATCCTAAACAGTGCGTGAAACCGATTCCATTCTTCTCAAAGTTGTTCAGATGCTTTTTTCTGAGGAGTGTGGTCTGTGGTTATTGTAAGAAAAAAAATGATCTAGAAAAACAACCTTGAGCACTGAAAGTGAAAAGAAACTGGACTGGGTTAACATGTGTAAGACATGTACAGCACAGCAAATTACAGGCTTTTCTCATTCTCCAGAAGGTCTTTACTAGAAAAGCAGCAAACAAGGACATACTGCAGAACATATATAAAGAGTCTTTTGCTCTTCAAAAGGTCTGATTTGGTCCAAACTCCACTGCAGAAGATTGCATCTTAGTCGGCCACTCCTTTAATTAATGCTAAGCCCATCTGAACCCAGAGTCCTCTAAAGTTTCTCTGTCTCTGTGCCGCAGCCTCGGGCATGAGGCAAAACCCAGAGCCACAGATGCAACAACCATTGGCCCTTAAAGGACCTATACATAGTTCTTTATTTTATCGTGAGGGAAAATTCTGCGATCGGGCTAATATGATTTCACAGCGTCTCAGCAATTACGACAGCTAGAACCAGATTAATCTGCCTGGCTCTTTAAAATTTTCTTCCATCTTTCATCAAAGAGGTGCAGCAGTTGGCTGCTGGTGTCATTTAAGAATATCTTACGGTGCTTTCAAACAGAGAAAGAAAAGATCAGTTAGAGCTGGTTTGTGTTTCTGCGGCCAAAAAATGCTACCCTAAATTTTTTGTTGTAAAAAAGATTTAACTTAATTTATGTACCTGTGATCCTTTAGATAACCCCACTCACACTTTTACAGGAATTATTATAGGAGTTACTTTATCTGTAGGTTTATCAGAGGTCAGCTGCCATAACTCATGTGAAAACAGCATAGCAGTTACTGCGGCTTGTGGCTGTGATGCTGAACTATCAATCATATGGGTTTGCAGATGCAAAAGTCTTGGAATCCTCTTAAATTAGGCAATTCTTCACCAACAAGTCTGAGGCAAGCAGTCTCAAATTGAAAAAAAGAAAGACCTGAAACAGATGTCCTGAAAAGTTCAATCCCAGATCGAGACTGCGTGGTGTAAATACTAGATAAATAATCCTATTAGATTAAGAAGGGTCTCCTTGCCTTGACTTTGGCATTGCTCGAACAATAGAATCTTTATAAAGTCAAATAAACATCCACTTTATAGGATTATATTTATTAGTGTTTTTTTAAAGTACTGTTGCTATGTTCGTTTTTTTCTTAACCACAAAATGTCAGACTTAAGAGTTCACTTCATGAATCAAAACACTAATAGATACAGTTTTATTGATGTTCTTTTAAAATGTTGTACTGACAAATCAATGCTGAAAATGTTCAATTATTATTTCATTATTATTCATTTTTTCAGTACATCATCATCATGATTGTTTGATTGAGTTAATAGATCAAATAGATAGAGAAAATAGATCAGGTAGAAATAGCTCCTAACACTTTTTAAAGTGTATGACACAAGATACTCTCCCTTTATATAGAGAAACTCCAATGATATGGCCCTAACAAAAGGACTGAACATGAAGACTCACCTAGATCTTTGCCATCTGAGATGCCATTTTCATGGCAGGGCTCTCCATCTGAACTGGGTCGATCGCAGGACAGCTTCTGCAAAATAAGAGTAAAGTTAAGGATACACTCGCAGTTACAGAGAAAGCACACATTTTATCAGGAGAATGGATACCGAACAGCACAAACAACAAAGCATTCCATTTTAAATTCAATGATAGTTTGTTTATAGACATACACATTGAATACATACTAGTGTATGGAATACTAAAGCCCATACAATTAAACCTCTACAGTCTACCCAAACAAAACTCAAAGAGCATCTGTTTAGCATTAAGTGTGAATAATTAGACTGGGCTCATGCATGCTGTGCCAGTTTAAGAGGTTTGACATTAAACCCCCTTAGATCTGTCTTAAAAACAAGACACACACACACATAAACAAGTGCAACATGCACACGCTGCACAAATAATGTCACAGCATACTGCATACTAAAGAATGTGTTCTTAAAAAATGATAAGATCACATTTCCTCCCACACCTATTTAACCTTGCCAGCAGCACACATCCGTGGCAAGATGGAATTAGGTACGCATATGAAGCTTTTATAGCCCTCCATTCCCTGGCAGCAGAGCCACTGTACAGGAAAACAGAGAAGAGGCGCCTGTGCTGGGTACTGAGGTGTGGTGAGGCTGGCAAGCATGCAAACCAACACACAGTCTCACATACCTGCATGTAGGCTGCAGGCATAGTAAATCCACAAACACACAAATGTAGTTTACATAAATATAATTATGAATCCACACCTTTTCCAGCTCTGCTTTGTGAACAGGAGAACCAGAACCGTCACAGTCCACCACTCCATTTCCATTGGAGCAGACTTCTTTCATCACCTTAAAGAGACCACAGAACAAAAAGTTAAAGTGCAAAACAACAGGCAGAAATGTAATATTCCTCAATTCTCCATATTTATATGGCTGAGGATGCTCGAAATACACTGTATAGAAATCTTCTCATGTGATCACTTTCTCAAAGAAAATCATATAAGAACAATCACACACATCAAACAATAAATTATATTTTTATCAGGGTTCCCACACTTTTTTAACCAATGAATTTCAAGACTTTCCTGGGATAAAGATACAAATAAAATATATATATATATATATATATATTTTAAAGATTGCACTCACAAAGATCAATTTAGCTGAAATATTTTATATTAATAGTTACAACTTAAAAACTATAGAAAACTAATTACATTAACTAGAGAAATTTCCCAAGAATTATTGAAAAAATAAATATGTATTTAAAAAATAAATGAAACTAGAGCAGTTTTTACAACTTTTCCAAAACGTAAGATTTTATTATTATTTTTCATGCTTTTTCCAGGCCTAGAAAATTGCAAATTTCCCATGGGAACCTTGGAGTAGTCTATCAAAAACTTTCTTTGCTTCCAGTCAAACAGATGCTCTCCACCACCTCCACGTTCTGCCATGCACATGCAGTCAAATGGATTCTGCGCGTCACATGCAGTTGGAAGAGCAGCTGGAAGGCTGTTACATGCGTCATTGCTCTCGTGGCTGTCTATGCGCTGTGCAGTGGCTCTGTGTGAATGAGATATCCAGAGATCTCCAGACTGCACAGACTCTTCGCCGCCACATAAGAGCGTGACCTCACATTACCTGGGGGTTACATCCAAAAAACCCACAACCAGTGGTGTCAAGTGAACTAAATGGATAAAGAGAGCATCACAAAGAGAGGCACTCACCTTTACACACCCCTCACACCCTCTTCCCAACCTGCCCCCATGCCAAAGACCAAAATATAACCAAATATCCTTTCTGTTGAGCTCCTCTGAGCATTGTAACTTGACGCAGCACGTTGGGGTTTGGCAACCAGCTTACATAATTGGGCTCACGGGAAAATTGCAGGCTGTGGCCTCACTCTTTGGCTTTAACTGCAAAGATGTGGGTTTCTGGGATACGCTCAGTCAAAAAAACTTTTTTGCTGTGCTAATGTGCCCTCATGAGCATTTATATTTTCATATGAAGAGTTAAGGAGAACTACTGCATAAAATCCAACAAACAAAGTTAAAGGTCAAACAATTGAGTCGTAATGCAAAATTGCCACATTAGATAGTGATGAGAAGCAAAGCCTATGCCAAGTAGAGGTCGGCCGATTAATCGGCACCGATAACCGATTGCTGGATTGGCAAAAACCCATACCAAGTTTTTCCGACTGTTGCTGGAGTGGCTGAGAAGGGTCTGCTGTCGTTTTACAGTACGAGAGCGGTCTCTAGAGGCGAAATTAAAAACTATTACTGACGTCTCGTGGAGTTTGTTTTGACACGTGAGACAGAGCGCTGCATAGAGCAGGACATTTCAGATGCGGATTTAGAAAACGGTATGTACTGTATACAGTACACTACACTCACACTGCATGTTTTCATATCATTATAGGGTAATTCATTTGTTGACTAGATGCTGCAGTATGTTTGCCGTCTCTAACATTAAGACTCTGACATTAGTGCCTCAAGCAGTTACAACAATGTGACAAAAACACATGCAAATGCGACCCAAATGTTTAAAGTCACGATTGTTACCATCTATTTGCATTCGTTTATATCCAGCTGGTCGCTTTTAATGATATGTTCATGCAGCCGAGAGAAACATGTTAACAAATCAGAAACGCATCCAATTTCAGTTTTTTTATTGTCACTGTAATACATATTTTGTTATTTTGATTAGGTATTCATCAAGCAAATAAAGTAAGAGAGTATACATACTAATTGCAATGCTATGGCCTTCGTGTAGATATTTAACGATGGCCATCTTTAACTTCGACTGTTTAGATTTATATAAAATGGTAACACTTTAGAATTAGAGTCCATTTGTAACAATAATTAATGTTAATTAAAGTATTGTTCTTTGTTAATATTAACATTTACCAATACATTTTTACATTTCAAATTTGTATTTCTTAACTTTAGTTAATGCACTGTGAACTAACACGAATAATCAGGTTATACTTAATATATTTATATTTAAAAAAGTGTTGTACATTTTCATGGTTGGGTACTGTTTTTTTATTGTAGTTCAGCACTATTTTATGTGTTATGTTTGTTTTCATTCAGTATCCATTTTAAAACTATCGGTTAATTAAACGGTTATAGGCCATCGCGGTCCAAGAACCTAGTTATCGTTATCGGCAAAATCCACTATCGTTTGACCTCTAATGACAAGCATTAATTAAGGGCAGGAATGAACAATTTCATAACAATTAGCACACGAACACACACCTCAGTAGCTAGTAAAATGACACCCAACAGAAAGCAGGAAGTGACAAGAGGAATAAAATGTTCAACATCATACAGTGGTGGTCACGTTCATTTATACATAACACAAAAACTAACAGGAGAACAAATACACTCCATTTCTTACCATTCTAGCCCAGGGCAGTAGAGAGTCAGATGACAAAAAAGAGAGAAGAAAGAAGAACGAAGGAAAGAAGAAAGACAGGAGGTGGAATTTCCCCAGGCCTGTCCAAAGGATCAGAACAGAGGAGCTACATCAAATAGAGAACTTGTTGAATAAAGACTGGAAGAGAGAGAAACAAAGAGGAAAACAGTGCAGAGGAAAGATACAACACTAAAAAATAATTAAAAAATGAATCATGGAAAACAACAAGCTAAGATTTTCCATAAATAGATCATTAGCAAACTGGATAAAGCATTAACTGACCACAGACGCCTTTAGGCTTCTATAATGATCTTCGATTTTGTTTAAAGACAAGAAGTATTCCATTAAAGGCAAAAAAAAAAAAAGTTTCCTTATCACCTTATATTCCACTATTTCTAATACTCCATCTAATGGCTTCCATATAAAACCATTTATTTCCACTTTTAAAAACTGGTTACAACTGAGCCAGAGCAAAACTCATCTTCATCTTCATCTCATTCTCATCTTGTGAATATTCAAAGGAGATTCAGTGAAATAAACAATTTACCGGGTTAATGATCTAATGCCTAGTGTCTAATGTTGATTTCCTAAAAGAGTTTGCAGATTTTCTCTTAGACCTATTGGTCAACGTCGATAAAGCATTGATTGTTGGTGATTTTAACATTCTATACAAATGATGAGTTAGGGGCTGCGTTTACAGATTTACTAAACTCCTTTGGGGTCAAGCAAAATGTCACACTCATCGTTTTAATCATACACTGGATTTAATTAAATCGCATGGAACCAGTCCTACTGATATAGATATTCTACCACAAAGTGATCGTACCGTAACTTGCATACTGCGTATCGCTGATATTTGCAATGTCGTGCCACGTTATCGACCAGGTAGAACAATTCTCCCAAACACTATAGACAGATTCACAAATAACCTGCCTGATCTGTCTTAGCTGCTCACTCAGTGTACCCAAACACACAAATGAACTTGAGGAAATGACTAGCAGTAAAGGCACCATTTTCTCTAGTACATTAGAAACTGTTGCACCGATCAGATTAAAAAAGGTTAGAGAAAAGTACTGTACCATGGTACAACGCTACTACCCATGCTATCAAGAGAGAAACTTGTAATCTAGAGCACAAATGGAGACAAACTCCTTTAGAGGTCTTTAGGAATCACGTGAAAAGACAGCACTTCCCATTATAAAAAGTCTCTAAAAGCAGCCAGGGCCGAGCATTTACGCAAACTAATAGAAAATAACCGAAACAATCCAAGGTTTTTGTTTAGTACAGTGGCTAGATTAACAAATAAACAGACATCACCTGAACAAAATATTCCATTACAGTTTAGTAGAAATGACTTTATGAATCTCTTCACTGAGAAAATCGAAGGCATCAGCAATACAATTGTAAATGTACAACCTTCTACAAGAGTTTTATGATTAGGCCTCAATTATGGCCCCTCAAGAACAATTGCAGTGCTTTACAACTATGACAGGAAGAGCTAAATAAACCTAGGATATCAAGTCCACTAAAGGAGGGAGAGCGTTTTCACATTTGGCTCCTAAACTCTGGAATAGCCTTCCTGATAATGTTCGGGGCTCAGACTCACTCTCCCAGTTTAAATCTAGATTAAAGACGCATCTCTTTAGCCAAGCATTCACATAATGCATCTCATTACCTTATACTCCAGTTATATCAGATCAAATGGACATGATTATCGTTGCTTAAGGTTATGAACAGCAGCAATGCTAATTATTTTCCATTTGTTTTTATGTTTTAACTTGTGATGCCCATCCTGAGGTAGCTAGAGAGTATGTCAGCTACAGTTTGGATCCAGCCTCTTATGAAGACATCAGATGCCTCAACACCTGTGAAGAGACTGTTCTAACTCCTGCGAGGACTTCAGATGAAGAAGCAAGCTCTGAATCAACATGCACCAATGCTACATTTTCTATACCCGAATTTGTTAACATACATGTATTCATTACTTCAATGAGCTCATTGTTTCTGCCTTAAATTAATACATTGTTTAAATTAATACATTATTAGTTAACTGTGTGATTTGTGTATGTGTGCATTTCTGAAATACATAACTTGGACACAGTCATCTCTGATAAGAGATCACTCATAATTGTAATGTAGATGCATGCATTTTTTGTAAAGCTGCTTTGAATCTATATTTATTGTGAAAAGTGCAATACAAATACATTTTAATTGAATTGAATTAATGATTTAATGTTTAGAAAAAAATGACATCAACAAGAAAAAAATCCAAGACTTATTTAAAAAAATAAATAAAGCAAATGCACTCAGAAAGAGCTATTCTCTATTTGCTATATTATATATTAGCAATTAGAGCTAGAAAAAATATAAACTATACTAGTGAAGTATTTTTTTTATCACTTTCCCAAGACTTTTAAGATTTTTATGATTTTTCCAGACTTAGCAAATTGTAATTCTACTCTATTTCCCATGGGAACCCTGCAATAGCCGATCAACTTTCTTTTCTCCTAATCAAACAGATCCCACAAACCCTCCCCCACTTCTGTGTTCTGCCATGCACAGTGTGGTCAGTTAAGTCATTATCTTTTGCTCCACTTCAATTGTACTCATATTTTAAAAGTAGAAATAAAAGTTTTATATGGGAGTCATTAGAAGAACTAGGAGAATTTAAAGTAGTGGCATATTCAAAAGAGTTTCAGTGGAATAAATAATTTACCGGGTTATTAATGATCTAGAAGTTAGAGGGAATGTGCTTTTTCATATTGGGAATGAGTACCTACGCACCCTTGAGTTGTTGGGTGTACAGTGTGTGTCTGAATGAAATACAATACAACAAAGCCCCCCGAGCTAGGGTGGTTTCGGTTTATTCCAAGCAGAAATCAATTACTCCCGTATGTTTTTAGTACACACGACACCTGACCAAACAGTGCTGAGCTATGCCCCCTTCCTAAACAGCAATTACGGCTGTTGTTGCTTTCCTGAGCTGTATATTTGCACAGTCTGACGTTCACGCCCACTTGAACAGTGCTGTACAGCTCACTGCATGTGCTTTCCTGCCCGCAAATCAATAAACAGAAGCTCGTTACCACATGGAAACATGGTAACGGATTCAGAAAATCTCTTTTTTGTGTCTTTATAAATGGGATGGTTGCAACAAGTGATGTCTTTATAAACAGAGCCACCAGAAGAGTGATGGACAGCGATGAGGGAACTGCTATTACCATCAATCGACTGTTGACTGCAGCTGGTTTTGATGATCTTTGTGCAGCATAAGTTGCTTTCAGGTTATAAACTCAAAGATCCATCACACGAGAGCCCAGAGACTTTCACTAGCACTTTTCTTAATGTTTGTGAAAAACAGATGTGGTGGAAAACAGCTTTAAATAGATATACAACAGACTATCAAAGTAACATGTTATCAACAAGTGCAATCTTCAGAGCTGTTAAGGTTAAAATCCTTTGAACTTTCACCAAGAAGCACTTTTTAGAGGTTAGGCTTATACAAGAAGTAGAAAGAACTGTAGGCGGATTGATGTGCCGGCCGAGAACAAAGAAGTAATAGTATGCATACCACTGCATTTAGTATGCAGAGAACAACCTGTTTTTAACCCCACACACCCAACTGAACATAAACACTGAACAGCTGGACCTGAGGATTGCTACTACTTGTTTGTTTAACATCTATGCTGAAAAGGCAAGCATACTCATGCAGTTCGCCAAAAAAACTTGCTGGTCGACAGCTGGTTTCTAATAAGCTACTCCAGGTCCAATCACATAACACTACGCTCTGGTTACCTTTAGCCACTCTTCGGCCTGTTCTTTGCTCTGTACAGCAAGCACCAGAGCATCAGCTCCCTGATGGACGATCTTCAGTTCATGCTTCTTTTTCTTGCCGTCTTTGGGAATGTGTGTGATACTGCAGCCAGACAGGACGAGCTCCATCTGTGGAGTCTGGTCTTTAGAGGACTTGTAGCACTGAGAGAAAGAGAGACATATTAGAGAAGCTATTTCGTTATAAACATTTTCCTCTGAAATCATTTTGTTTACCCACTACAACATAAGCGGAGTCAAACTAAACAGAATCGCTGAGAAATAGATGACATGGGAAAGCGGGTAAACTATGTCACCTCTATAATCAGGCAAACTCAATAGTTTTTGTCATGTATACATCTATTTGGGCACCCTTTTCCAATGTGCCCTTTTACATGACATGTAAAATTAATTTTATGGAAAAGCAAACCTTTTCAGGATTAAAAATAGAATTACCAATGTAGAAAAATTGTTTGGCTAAACATTCATTTTATTAACATTAATTTATTAATTAATAAATTAAGTATTTTTCCTAAAATAGTAACTGTGGGGTAAAGTGTGCCAGATGCTTTGAGGTAAGCCACATCAACATATCAAATGAAAGTAAGCCTTTCCTCCAAATATTGGTTTATGAAAATGTGAATAATGTGTCACAATATAAGACTAGAATAGGATTGTGCATTAGTAAAATTGTCAATTGATATTTTACCCTAACATTAAGTCATACGACTTAACCACTTTTGTTTGAAAAGTATTACTTCTATGGCCCTATTTTATGGAAGATTTAAAATTTTTTGGTTGATATATAATTAGGAGTTTTTCTGGCGAAAAGAAATGTAAAAACAAGTGGCACATCTTACCCCACTCCCCTGAGTGTTCATATCTGTGAGTGTGTGTGCTTACCAACAGTTTGTTGTCCTTTATGACACAGAGCAGTTTGGTCCACTGTCCAAAACGTTTCTTTCGCAACAGGAACGCACAGATTCGCGCATCTTTCACCAGGTCCATGGAGGCCTCCTCAGATGGCCACTGGTGACGCATCTTCTGCCCCTTCCCATCCTCCTCCTCCTCATCATATGACTCATATGAACTGCTCATGGCGTCCGAGTCATAATCTGAGAATAAAGTTGGGACTCAGGTTAGACTTTATTGAAATTTCGAAAATATTCTGGTCTTTTTTAGGTCACAGATGCAGCTACAGTACTGTCATAGTTCTAAAACTTTAAAGTGACCTTTATAGTGTAACTGTCCTTACTAGAGGTGATGTACTCTGGTGCTTTGCCAGGGCCTAGCGGAACAGCTTCCTCATAATAACCTTCAGGAAGAGAGGTGCTCGGCAAGGGAGGAGGCCCATTGTCTGGAGGCTTTGGGACAGAAGGAAAGAGAAAGAAAGTGGTCAGCTCAATCATTCAGCCTCCTGGATTAAATGTAAAGACAAAAAAAAATCAGATTCACTGGTTCCAATGAATCCAAGCTAATAATATCAAAACTGCTGAGGCATCATCCATCTCATCTGAAGTGCATCTTTAGAGGTCAACTAAAGATCTCTGACTGCATAGTGGGGCCGACATAAACCAATCAAAGGCCTACGGTTTCAATCTGTGCCAAGAGGAAAAAGGGAATGTTTACAAACAAAACTGTCAGAGAAAAAAAAAAGAGAGAGACTTTATGGTAAAAGAGCAGCTGGTCATGATAAGTAGAAGAAAGAAAAGGTTTGAAGCTAATTTTTGAAACACAAACAACACAAACAAACCAAAAATAGGAAACTAGCTGCAAAATAGAAAGCAGAGTAAGCTACAGATCAGCAAGATATAATCATAGGGCTGCCCAGCAAGTTCTGAAAAAAGAGTTCAGGGAGGTGCACCAATAGAAGTGTGGGCACCTTGCTAAATGTAAGCCATTTGGCCAAATTTCTCTGTCTGTGTTTAAACAAAAACAGCTGTAGTATATAGAGGTACACCGGTAACGCTTTACAATAAGGTTTCATTAATTAACTACTTTAGTTAACATGAACTAAGAATGAACAATACTTCTACAGCATTTATTCAGCTTAGATAATGTTAATTTCAACATTTACTTATACATTTTTACAATCAAATGTAGTATTTTTTAACATTAGTTAATGCACTGTGAATGAACATGAACCAACAATGAACAGCTGGATTTTTATTAACTAACATTAACGAAGATTAATAAATACTGTAATGACTAATGTTACCAAAGAGACCTTATTGTAAAGTGTTACCTAACAGCGCATCGCTCATTTAGTTTGTTGAAATACAGAATATGTTACAAAATCTAGTGTGCTGTCTACGCAGGCAGCCTTTTACATCATCACAGACAAGCTCCTGATGCCAAGACAGTACGAAAAGGTAGGTGGCATAATTATCCTGCCCTCTAAGATACTTTCTTTTGGCCAAATTGCTAGGGCAAATTGCAGTGACCATAATGCACTGCAATGAGGTCAGTGAACAAATCCATCCAAGATGGCAGATTTGTATGAAAAATCGTAAATATAATTAAAGGCATGGTAGGTGATTTGTTCCAGAAACATTTTTTGTTATGCTGGTTGAAACTCTCTTCACATCTTCAAAGTTAAGTGGTCTAAATGTATTTATATGTAAATCGTCTGTGGAAGGAGTAGGGCCATAAAACGTTTGTTCTATTATTACATACGGCCCAAATGCAATGATACAATGTCCTACCTGCCTGTCAACATATGTATTTTCATACCTCCGTGCACCCTGCTCTCACAGACGTCACATGTCATCAGCGCGCTTCATGCTAGAGTTAGACAGACGTCAGTCACCGAGAACCGCAACCGGAACACCAGCCGCCTTTTACAGTTCCTCCTGAACCAAAACAACGAGCTTATGCTGCGTTCACACCATAACTACTGTAATTTGAAAGAGATGGAAACCCGTGACATCATACGGTTTGTGACTCGAATTTATGCATTTCAATGGAAACACTATCAACGTCGAAATGAATCTGCATCAGTCAGGTGGTACAGGTCAGTGCTCTTTAAGTTGTTTTTTGTTCATTATTATTGTAATGTTATGTGCTTTGAGACATAAGGTAGTTTAACGCCGTCTCTCGTGACATGTTTGTTTGCTCCCTGCTGTACGGGTTCAAGTGTTTTGAAGGAGGTGTGGCTTTGGAGATGCTCTGAAGGGAGGGTGGGATCGTATGCTTTCAAAGCTAGCTCGCTATTGCTAGCCTCCCCCCGAAAATCGCCTACTCTACCTATTTTACTATCAAAAAAATTAAATACAAAAAAATGTTGCATATGTATTTTCATTCTTATTAAAGTGACACAATGATTAAAGAGTTTCTGTGCATGTAGGGGATTAAAAATCTGAATACTTTTAGGATAAAATCTATGCTAAGTTTTCTACACTAGGCCCCTGGTGTCTATAACCAATGAGCACACTATAGAACCTCATTAGTGAGTGAGAGGGATTGTTTAAAAGAAAGAAAGAGAGAAAAGGAGATTGTGTGTATATAAGCGCAAAAGAGCGTGCATGTGTGAGTTACAATGTGTTTAAGACTGTCTGATTTGGGCCTTGGTTGGTCGGGCCCAGCTGGCAGCACATGTGACAACCTGGTGTTGTCATTACGACACAGGCCCTCCAGAGCCTCCCTCATTTCCCAGGCTGCATGCAAACAATTATGGTTGATGACAAACTCATATAAACGCTTTTCATTTTCCTTTTTTCCCCCTGTAACCCATGGAAAGTCTGTCTTTATTTCTTTTTCTTTCATTTTAGTTAACAGAAAGCACTGCTATTTTCCAGTGCTTTTCAGGTGGGGGGAATTACAACACATTTTAAGAGACCAAAGGCCCAATGTTCACAGTTGCCACCTGGCACACTTTATCACCATGGTAACCTCAATATAGTAGAACATGAACAACTATTTACATTACAAACACTGCAAAAGGACTGCTCATGGAAATAGACTGTATAAGGAAAGTTAAAACAGACGGGAAAGAACAGTACAAAAGATGTTTTCTCAAGCTTTCATTGGTGCTGCTGAGTGCTTTACTTCGATTTCATTTTAGGAAGTAACTGCAAGACCTTCTACGTTCAGATATTCCCAATAAACAGCATAGGTTAATGCTTTTTAGGCTATTTATGTCAGCCAGAAAGACATTTTTCAGCATGGCCTTAATTTGCTAATTTCTCCCTAAAGTATATTACAGTATATAACAAAAAAACTGTCAAATTGATTGTGTGTTGGGATGAACTCAGTATTTACTTTGGTTCCTTAGGGTTTTCGTTCACATGTGTAATCAAAACTACAATAGAAACTGTAATGTTTTAGTGTGACCTCCTGGCACATTTGAGAAGGGTGTGTTTGACGTCTGAGGTAGAGGAGGATACTTTATCTCAGTGCTAGTCATTACAACTTGGCTTTAAATATAATGAAGACCAGAACATGTAAAATCCCCATAAGGTCATCATCTGTGTGGGTGGTTAATAGTGTACATACTGTCTGTAAATGTACATCTGCAGACATGCATGTCCAAGACCTAGCTGCTCCTTTCTTCTTCTGCTTTTCTGCTCTGATCTTTCTTGTGTTTTCCCTGACCTACTTTTAATAATGCTGCAGAAACACCCTGTATTTTACAGTACCATTCCAAAGTTAAGGGTCAATATGTTTATTTAATAAAATTAATACTTTTATTAAGCAAGGGTGCATTAATTTGATCAAAAGTGACAGTAAAGACATGTTCCAAAAGATTATCTCAAGTAAACAGTGTTTTGTTATAACTCTTGAAGTGTTTGGCATATGACAATGTTGATTTGGTCTTGGCAGAATAGATCTGCTATGCTGCTGCTGCTGTTATCGCTGCTGCTGCAGATCAAGCACTCATTAGCACTACTAAGGCAGATGCTAATCAAGTATTTTTTGAAAGTTGAGCATGTTTTTCATTGGCTACTGATACAGCAGGAACCAATCAGCTGCGCCCTATAAAGAAAGACGTGATTGCAAGCACGTTGAGTTAAGGACCTATTAGCCTGCACCATCTTGAGTTTCATGAAAGAACTTTGTATTTGTTTTGAACTTTCTATTCATCAAAGAATACAAAAAAAACGTATCATGGTGTCACACTGTGACACAAATATTGTGATATAAAAACATTAAGCAGCACAACTTTTTTCAACTTTGATAAGAAATGTTTCTTGAGCAACAAATCATATTAGAATGATTTCTGACACAGAAGACTGCAGTAATGATGCTGAAAATGTAGCTTTGCCATAACAGAAATAAATTATATTTTAAAATATATTAAAAAGAAAAAAGATCATTTAAATTGTAATAATATTTCACAATTAACTTCTTTCTTAAAATACTTTTTCAAATAAATGCAGCCTTGGTGAGCATAAGAGAATTCTTTCAAAAACATTTAAAAAATCTTACTGACCTCAAACTTTTGAACAGTACAGTACATTGTAGAAAAGTGGGGGAAATTCAATGAAATATGGAAAACCAAATGGGCAAGGAGCGTTTTTCTTTTTGGTTGTCATTTCCAGTCTAAAAGTTTCCCAAATACAGAAGTGCTATTTATCAGTTCCTTCCGTCCCATCAAGCCATAAACTGCTCAACTAAACAAAGAAGACGGCTGTGTTACTGCCTGTTATGGTTTCGGTTCATCGGGGCATCTAAGCCCGGAGGGAGGACAGAATTCCAGGCAAAAACTGCAGTATGAAGAGCCTTGCTGAAGCAGCGTTCCGTACCAAAGCCGCCCAAGTATTTTTAGGCATAGTTCCACCTCTGGTCTGAGCTGGAAATCTGTATGAAGGATATCTGTACCTAGAAGAACAAAAAAAAATGCACTTCCACCCATTCATGCAACATCTAGTCCATCAATAAGTCTGTGCTTATGTATAAAGATACATACTTGACCTACATTTCAAAAAAGAGCTCCAAACTTCACACTCCCTTTCCAGACCATTTCACCTTACAACATAGTGTATAGCGATATTGTGCGGTTTGTGATAAGTCTGAGTAGTAACAGACATCTGGGCCAGTCTGGGTCTATTGTATTGGGACTGCAGTGCAGGCTAGTCAGGGAAATGCACTCAATCAATAATTCAATATTTTAACCTTCATATTTCCTCTTTTGGTTGCCTTGAAATGCAGTGTATTCATGCACACACTTGAGCAGTATTCATGCACAACAACTCAATCTCACTTACACACACATTCACGCAGTAGAGTTGGGAGGTTTGTGTCCCTACAAATGGTTTTCCATGTGTTTTGGAGAATCTTTTCATTCTCGACTGGTTCTTCAAAGAAACTTTCCAGCAGTCCCATACAAAAAGCAGTTGAATAACTGAAAGCTCATTTTCCCGAATGAAATGACTATATAAACTGTCACTTGCTGTAACCTATAAAAGATGTTCGGAAGGGTAAAAATCACCATCTGTATTGCTATTTCCATGGCAACGGACAAAATGCATTGTAGTGCATGAATCATAATTCATTTTCCTCCTTTTGTCCATGACACAATGAGGGATTAGGTCATTGCATTCCAGACTGCGGTTAACCCTCCTTAAAAGGGAGGGGGTACAGTAGAGCCCTTCGCTTTAGCACAACTGAATCTTAGGACGTCCATCGTTTGCATTGTGGGCCTAGAAAGAGAAAACATCAATGCAAAAGTACCTGATTGTCCTGCTATGATGGACTATTGTCATTAACTTTGGGAGATTCACTGTGAGAACGAGAGATAAAGGGAAAACAGGAAGCTAAAAATGGCCTAAAATGAAGGGGAGGTTCTTTAATAACAGACTCCCCTTTGGGTTACAAAGTGCAGACAGATAATGAGTTTGTCTGTGTCTGTGTTCATTAGTGTGACATTGTTGGGGTGCAGATTTGGAGGCTGGGGGATGCTGGTGGGGAGGAGCAGAAGCCAACATCAACACAGATGGAAGTCATCATTGTCCCAGTGGAGTCTGTTATGGTTTCCCCATATTCTCTTACACATACTCTCTCTGCACAGCTACAAATGGCAGGATGTACTGTAAGTCGATGACTGAAAAAAGTGTACCATGGACTTACCTAGTCCATGACAGAATCTAATGTTTAATGATATATGGCAGTGTTGTCTTTGAACTCACTGTGCATGATGGGGAGGGTTGCATCATCATGTCTCTCTATATTTTCAGCTTCTCAGCATAAAGGTTTTTTTTCTGTTCTGTTCCATTTAAATGCATTTTGTCTAGCTCATTTAAAAAGGATGAATGTGCCATGAACAGAAACAGAAACAGAACTCAACACTCGTACTAGAGGAAGTTTTGAGATGTAAAATACAAAGAGATTTGATTGAGCCACCAAAAAGAATGCTGTAACCTAATGTTCAGTTTTAACTTATTAGACCAACCACTTGCCACTTAGACAACAACTTATCTAACTATAAGTGTACTGCACTGCTGATGGGCCTGTTTACAACTGGTAACTTCATGCGTTTTCTCTGATCGGATAGCTATCCCATCGTGAAAAGATCAGGTGTAAATGCCCTCCAAAATGCTTTCGAAATGCTTTTTTCGATCACTCAAACCACTGCAAACCAGATGCATTCCAGCTGAAACAGGACAAGTCTAAATGCATCTGGTTGTTGAAACCACATACTGTTTGTAAATTTTACTCCTCCCAAAATGTAAAAACAATAAACATGTGAGAGCGTGTTGTAGGCTATATGACATCTAATAGCCAGATATGACAACGCTACTCCAACTGAGTATCTTTTCAGCAAGCCGATGCACAAACTAACGCAAATAAAACTAAAAGTAAGTTGCAGATCCTCAACACAATAATCTTCATTAAAACAAGTAGTGTGACTAAATGATCTTACCAGTGCTCATCCCGCTCTTTCTCCTACTGCGGTCTTTGATCTTAAAAATTAGCTGAGGATAAATAAAATGCAGTGCATATCTGTTGCTTTCGTTGACATAAACTAAAGTTAAATTGAATTAAATGTTCATTTTTGAGGAGACACGTTTATGTGGCCAAGTGTAAATGGAAACATTTAACAAATCAGATCATGCTATCCGATCATTAAAAACACATGAAGTGACCGGGTGTAAACAAGCCTGATGTAAGAACATATTCTACATATTAGTCTATTCATTAAATGCACAAAATTAATTTAAAACAACGGAAATTATACAAACTGGAAAAATTACACAATGACAATTTAATTTTAAAATAATTCACTTAATTTGAATTAAATTAAACCACCTGAAAGCACTCTACGTATGAATGATGTATGCCACAGTATTGATAATTACTGATGAAACTAGCCATACAATTCAAATAAAACTTGAACTGGAAAAAAAAAATGTAACTGGATTTTTCTAACTACAAACTACACAGTTTGCCACTGTGGGCCCTAAAAGAGAAATTATCTTTCCAAAAGTGTCGGATTCTATGATGGAATCTTGACATGAACGGTCACTGGTATAGCATTTGGGCGAAGAAGCTTTTACATTTAAAATGTGGCATTTTTGCGTATAGTGGGTTTTGGAAAAAAGTTTTAAAAAAGTAGGCTAAGTTACGCAATTTTCATTCACAAGTATTGCTGTCACTCCAAAAAGGGCTATTGAAACTGTGCATGGATGTGCAGTAAGCATAACTCTCACTTGTCTCTAAGTAATAGTAACTATTGGTTGAAAGAACTAAACTGGTATTTAGCAAGCACTATTCATGAACAGAAAGTCAGAAATTCCTCCCCTGGGTTCATTATAGTACATGTACAGGGAAGTTTTGCAGTGAATTTGCTGCCAAACATTTAGAAACCCAAAGCCACAGAGTTCAATTCAACACAAACACACACACGAACAGAAAGTCTCCAGACAAGATTCTCCCCCTTGCGTACTGTGGCGTCTGCTGTCCTGTCCACGGCCCTATCTCACCACCCACATGCCCAGCTTCAGTCCCTTTCCTTCAATTCCTCTGTTTTTCCCTAAGTGGTTTTGACCACTTGTAAGGGCCATAGAAGGCTTTAGTCAAACACACATACGCACACACTGAATGTGCAGAATTAGGTCTGGCAGGAATATGACAAGGAGTCAGTTTATAAACCTGGCTCACTGACGCAATACTAAATCATCACATAGCTGGAGAGAGAGAGAGAGAAATGGAATGAAGAGGATGGAGCAGAGGGTGTGGTTGATGGAGAGCAGGAATAAGAAAAACTAAACAGCGCAATGGAAAAGAAAAAAATTATGGGCGACTTTCGTGTTCTGCCTTTCCTCGGGCAGGTTTTGCACAGGCAGAGGTCCGAGCTTGGACTGTAGTAAATGGATATTTCTCTTCCATCATCTCAGTCTACAGTCCCACAATCCCCTGCCCCTTCACACCTTCCGGGAACGGGAACAGTCGGCCCCTCACACACACCGGGGTTTATGGACGGATGGCTGAGGTAGGAAAGGATGTTTCTAATTATACTGTAAAGTGCTGAGTGTGTAAAGGGTGAACTGAAAAACAAGGTGCTGGGATGTGTGTTTGAGAATGGCCAACTGCGACCCATGAACACCTGCTATTTATCACAAGCATCTGCTGCTGCCCTCCAACAAAGATGATTGTTATTCTTAGTGTCACACATGTGAGCAAATACATGCGCGCAGGCGTAATCTGTTTCATGTGTGACGGATGAGACCACATCAGGGTCGTGTGTCGGTAACTATGAGGTCATGTGACAAAGCAAAGTGATGTGAACACTTCCTGCTGCTGTTTTACAGAGCTCATAAAAACACTGAGCACTTCACAAAAAGAGACCATCAAACCACCAGCCAGTGGCAGTCAAGGTTCAGACGACATCACTTCCAAATATAGGACAATGCTATTTTTGTTTCTGGAATGCTAAAACAAACTTAGAAAAACCCTAAACCAAAGCTTTCCCTGTTGACTTTTTGTTTAATAGAGCTGGGCGGTATATTGAATAAATGGTAACACTCTACAGTAATGTTTCATTTATTAACAGAAGTTAACATGAACTAACAATGAACAATACTTATACTGCATTTATTCTTAGTTAATGTTAATTTCGAAATTTATTAGTGCATTTGTTAACATTAGTTAATGCATTGTGCAACTAACCTGAACAAAACAATTAACAATAATAATATTTTTACTAGCATTAACAAAGATGCTTTGAAAAATATATTGCTCATTGTCCATTCGAGTTAGCTAATGCTAACTACTGTTAACTCATGAAATCTTATTGTAAAAAAGTTACAGAATAAGGGACTATAACAAATTTGGTGGCAAAAATAAATTAAGCACATTGTGAATAATACCACAGTTTTAATGTACATCATTTAGTCATTAGGTTTCCTAAAGACTCTCATTAGATTACTTTCCAAATCCTGCAGTGAGTACGATTTTTTTGAAACAAATATAATACTTTTATTCAGCAAGGATGCATTAAATAGATCAAAAGTGACAGTAAGGAATATTAATTGTAATGATATGCACATCTTACCATCCAGGGGTGAGGAATCTCTGGTAGGGGCATCTGAGGAGGGGCTGGGAGAGAGGTGTGTATCTCTGTCTTACATGAAGGCTCTGAGAGAAAAACAAACACATTCATAGAGAAAAATAAATTGATGCAGATATTAAGTAGACGTAGACATGAGTCATGATGATGAAGCAACATGGTGCAGTGTGAAGAGTTCATCTGAAGTCAAAGGTGAAATGAGCAGATAAAGTGGGTTTGAGCTTACCTCTAGTGGCTAGAACTCTGCGAAGGATGTTTAATATTTGCTGTTTCTTCTCTCTCACTCCAGCAGTTAAATACTCTCTGTCTAACAACTCCAGAAAGACCCGCAACTCTGCCAACAACTCCTCCATCGCTGAAAAAAAACATACAAGATATTCAATAAGCAAAATAAGAGCACAAGTTTGAGGCATAACATCTTCGGCTGGGTGATTTTCTCCTATTGACACTGTAAAGATGGGCCGTCAGCATTGCTCTGCCCTGAGATGCTGGCTGGCATCTCGTAAAAGCATTGAATTATAGGTATCTGTTGGCTCGGCACCTGAGAAATATCAAAGGCTATCAAATGTGAATTGCAGCCCTGGAATCAGAGGTCTATAAAACAGCATTACAATGGGCTCGGTCCCATACAAACACATAGCTGAAGGTTTACATAAGACTGCGAGGCGGGGGAGGGATGGGCTACATGCTCGGCTGCTGTAGGGACAGATTCTTGACGTAAAACAGAGAATAGAGCTCACTGATTAGTGTGTGCTATGAAATGAATTGTGCTTAGTGAATTGAGCGTGTCACTGTATGACTGCTGGTCTAGATTCCAGCCATCAAGACTGCCGCTACCCTAACATCTGGATATTTTTCAGGTTGGCTATAGTTCAATTGAATGCAGGTATTACCCTTTAAAGTCCCTCCTTCAAGTACGCACAAATCAAATTTGCAGGGTTTTTTTCTATTAAGTATTTGAGAAATGTTCTTGTCTTTAAAGGGATACACAAGACAATTGTTAAAGTTGGGCAATATGGACCAAATACTTTATCTCTGTTTGCAGTGTATCTGTATTTTCTACAAAATGGGTTAAATGTTTAGTTTACAATGCCCCCATTACAATAGTCCCTTTACTGTTAGTACTCTCATAAAAGCACAATTGCTTGTGTTAAATGTAGAATTTTAAACCTGCATTTAACATCCAACAACAAATCATTTAGCAAAATGTATATTTCAGAAACAATTATTGTGCTCCAATTATTTTGCACTCCATCTGTGTTTGACGTATGCACGTCGGCACTCCATCAGTGAAGTCTGTGAAGTTTAACAGAGACTTGCTTACTGTCAGAATGAGCCTTTATGCAAAATGGAAATACTCATGTGACTTTCTAACATTTACAGATAAGCATACAACCATAATATAAGTTATGCACTGAGGAAAGTGTGCATTAAATGCATTAAACAGTAGGCTACATGCATCTGACAGGAGGGTATCCGATTTAAACTATAAGTTTAGGAACCACGCAACCTCATAAGCACCCTGTGTCCTCCTCCTCCACAACATCAATGTTTATCGATATAAACGTCTCATATCTCATTTAAAAATATATCAATATATCTTACACAAGTCGATATACAGTCCAGCCCTAACAATTATTAGAAAAAAGTAGAAAGTTTATGAACATTTTTCATGCGTCATAGTTAAACTGATTGCCCGAGCATGATTGATTTAGGAAGACATTATGGTGTCCTTACATAAGGACATCTAATTTAATCACTGGAGTTCTGCTTGTTTTACTGGATAATTCAAATCACATGTTCTTGTGTTCGACTGAATAGACATTTCCTCACAGTATGTGTTTGAACTGCTCCTCTGTTACTGTTGACAGTCTACCATCGAACGTCAACAGGACAACACACTAAAATATTTATTCACAAGCTTTTTAACGCTTTTTGGGATGATTTTTTTCTCCTAAAATGTCTATTCTGAAAAACTAGATTGATGCAAAGGTGATATGATCTATAAATACATGTGCATAATATATAAAAGACACAGGCATTCTAATGCACACATCTCTGTTTTAGCTGTAATTTTAAAATATTGAATTTTGATATTTAAATTATAAATAAATAGTTATTAATCAGAAATTAAAATTGGGAAAAAGATAACTACATTTTGGTGTCTCTAGCAACCAACAATATTTATAATTAAAAACAGAATATTCTTTTAATAATTATGGAATTTATATAAATATATTCCTATACTATATACAAATATATTATTATTATTATATTAAAAAATATATATATATATTATTTTCCTGCAAATAATATGGTATTCAAATCAACCCCACACCCCTCCAAAAAAAAAAAAAATCACAAAAGGATAACTACGAACATTTGTTAAATATTTTTATAAAGGAACATTTTCAACTGTTTTGATGGGTCTTAGATCTCATATTGATGCTGTGTATGAAGAAAAATACTATAAGCTTATATCATTTCCAGTTGTTCCTGTATCATTCCCTGTCCAACAGCTTGCATGTCAGAGTGAATAAAGTTAATGAAGCACTTTCAGTAATGGTGGCCAAATAACATGAAAGGAAATATACTTTAAAAACCAACCGAGCGAACCAAATCACTGCATTAAAGAGCACCAAGTGCCACACAGAAATGAGGACCACCTTCAAACTGCTTGGGGGCAAACAAAGTCAAGAGAAAGAGAAGGAAAAAAGGACAAGGGGTAAACTTTAAACAATAACAACCACCCACATTCACAATTCTCTAACTCTGATTCTTCTTCATTCACACACTCTCGGCCGACTAACCCTAGCGTAAACAAAACTAAATGATGAAAGATCCAAGATATGAGTCCAAAAAGCCCATCTAAAAAAACAACAAAAAAAACGACACACCGCAAGCTTAAATCCTGAGGAATGACAAAATATGTTAACACATCCATACCAATTTTTTTAAACAATTCTAGTCTTGTTTTACAAATACCTGCCAAATTGACCAGAAAGAGGCTGATGCCATGCCAGAGAAGGTTTCGACAAGCAAAGCTGATTTTAATTCAGTGTTGACAGAGAGAAATAATGGATGGTATTCAGCTTGGTGGTTATCTAGAACCAGTTTGACAAGTTGACCTAGTGAACTCTCAGAAAAACATCATTCACAGCCTCTGCTGAACAAAAATCACATTATTCTATCATTCCAACCCAAATTCAATAATATAGAGGGATGTGGTCTGCAAAAGCAGTTGCCAGCATGCAAGAACCAGTATTATTTGTCTGCTGATGTAGAATGTGTGTGCATTTGCGTAGGTGTGTATATGTGGTTACGGTCTACCACCCAGGCCGCTGAGAAGCAACAACATCCTTGAAATTCACCAAAAGAAATGTGTGTGTGTGTGCGTGTGTGTACACGTACAGATTACACAGTACTTTTCTCTCCGCGCTGTCATCCTATCCGACCCTTCCGTCACATTGTAGAGCAGTTCTCTTTAATGAACCGTTCAAATCCTTATGCACATGATCTATGACCTACATGTATATAATCAGGCATTAACCCATGCCAAGTTTCTATGGAGTACCCACCGTCCCACATCCTTCACTCACTCTTCTCTTCTTTTATCTCTCTCACTCCCACTTCTCCATTTCAATTTCCATACTGAGCCAAGACGCTTTTTTTCCCCCTCACTTCTCACTTCAGATGGGGAAAGACATGGCGGCTAACAATAAACCTTTGAAAAAAAGAGATAACAAACAATCTTTTGCTTTGGTTAAGAAACCTGCCAAGAACATAAACGTGAACTTCGTGCTCTTCTGTCCTCCCTGACTCCTCATCCAGTGTAGTGCTTCTCTTTGATGTCTGCTGACAGGATCCAGACGGAGAGCCTGGGCCGGTGATGACTGAGATACAACACAAGCTCCTTCATACTCCAATCTGGTCTTACACACCGAACGCCTTGGAGGCTGAACAGACGGATGGATGGATGGATGGATGGATGGATGGGAGGAGGTAAAGATAAAAAGGAAAGCATGCCAATCTTGCTTATAACACCTCCAGAGTCACATCAAAGATCTTTAAAAGCAAATCAGTTCACTCTGCTGTAACAGTGTTTCGTGTAAATAATAGCAAATAAAGCTCTTATCGGCATGAAATTTCTAAAACTTGTGTCAAGTTACATAATCTATTATAAATCATCAATAAAAAAAGTCGTACAATAAATTTTCTTCAAAAATATCCCTCAAATTGTGTAAAAAATATTTCCCCTAAGCTTTGAATATGCATCTACACATCTTTATTACTTACAAAAAGTTTTGTTAAATATATATTTTTTTAAAGGTAGTGTCTTTTAGAAATATATATTTTTATAGTTTTTATGAGAGTTTAAAAGTGAATTTTAATTCAGAAAACAACCATTTGAATCTTTTCCAAAGCAATAGTAAAAAGCTTAATGCAACAGCAAAATTTTATTATTTTCACACTTTAATGGATTTTTTAATTAATAGATCTCTACGAAAAATGACCTCAAATCATTGACCTCTGTGGTTTAGTTTTAACTGAAAGGCAGGACAGCCACCATATTTCGATTGATTTTTCTATGAGCAATCTGTCTCTGTCCATGTCCCTGTTCCACTCGAGACCAAAATATCAATATTATCAATCATCGAATATATATATACGGTTACGGTATAGAATCTCTCGTAGATCTGGGTGCCCAGAACAAAATGTTTGGCAGCTGTGAATAAGGCAGCTACTAATCTGTGGTTTGTGAAATTAGGCTGCTTTACGGTTTGGCTTCATCATGGTTACCGCTCACTGCCACAGGCCAGGGCACAACAGAGTACCACTCCGGCTACACATGCCTGGAAAATAGTAGAGAACTACAGGAGAGAAGAAAATATTCAACAGATGCTCCACTGTCCCACTAATGATGGCCTTCAATACCAGCATCTGTGTAGTCACATATATCAAACGCACCGGGATCATCAATAAGAGAATATCTCAGCTGTGTGATTACATTCATCTCTGTGTTTGATTATATATGTACTATCCATGTGTGTTCACATGAACATATGAGGAAAATATTGAGGTTTCAATTATGAAAGGATGGTTTAAAATATACGTCCATAAATGTGTACTTGTGTTTATGAGTTTGTGTGTGTGTGTGTGTGTGTGTGTGTGTGTGTGTGTGTGTGTGTGTGTGTGTGTGTGTGTGTGTGTGTATATAATTACAGAGCGTTAACTCCTAAACCACAGCGGGCAGAGGGGTGGGAGAGAGGAGCCACTGGTTACAGAAACCTTTAAGAATCATCCTTCTAGAGGGTGGGGGAGACTCCATGGTTCCTGGGAAACTGAGCAGAGAAGTGAGTGTATCCACTTTTTATGAATTCTCACCAGCATTTGAGTATTTGCCTTCCAAGTTCCAACAATTACTTGGGATGAATTGAAGCATGAGTTTACCATGTACAGGATGATCAGTTTTCAACATTGATAATAAAAAGACATTTTTAATAAACAGATCAGCATATTAGAATGATTTCTGAAGGATCATGTGACACTAAAGACTGGAGATATGGATGCTGAAAATGCAGCTTTGCCATCACAATTTTTTTTTTTTTACATAGAAAACAGATATTTCAAATTAATGTAAAATATTAATGTGTTTTTATCAAATAAATGCAAAAAATCTTTCTGACCCCAAACTTTTAAATGGTAGTGTAATACACAAAACATTTTTTTTTAATATTAATAAAAAAAGGTGTCATTAATGTAAAATACAACATCAAATGTAAATCTATGAATGTTGACAATTTAGTTTATGCCAAAATTATGCTTCCCATCCTCATCATGATCTGCATATTGAACAATAACTGAATATTAAATAAGGCTGAACCAATGGTCACAAAAATATACTCAACTTAACAGCAATGTCATGGCGAACATTCTGACCTCTCTGGCACTCTACCCTTAGGGACAATGTAGAGAACCATTAACTATCTTTATAGTAATAGCAATTGAGAGAGGGGAGAGAAAACAAGAAATATATGATAAAAACTGCAGTAGAGCCAAGCAGTTGACAGAATGGGTGGAAAAGACAGAGCAAGGCAAAGTTAAAGAATTCTCTTCTTGACTCTCGTCTTTTTTGGATCAGACATCTCTACTTGGAGGGAAGGAAGGGCTTTCGGGGTTTCTTGGCACGTGTAAGCCTTTAAAAACTCATCAGTGTGGAAACTGTCAGAGAGGAGACCCCCTAAAATAAAGCCAAGTAGGCTAACAGACCAATACCCACATCACACGCTGTAATCGAGTGCCAATTCATACCATGTCAGACTGGTCTAACAACACAGTGCCATATGTTCCTAAATGCCAATAAACACATTAACCACCAGCGCAGCACAGTATGAGCTTAAAAACATGACGAAAAGTTCAAATCCACAAGGAACATTGTCACATCTGGAACTATGCTGACATGTTTTAGTGCAAAAACTCATGTAAGGGATAATCATATGGTCTTTAACACTAAATAAACCCAAAACAGGGTAACCAGGACCCCAAAACTAAGTAGAGGGTTCTTGTAACCTGAAGGAGTTTGTTTTGCAATAATGATACAGACAGCAGTCCCATATCTTGGACAACAGTCATTCTGAAATTTAATTACTGAAGTTTGACAACTACAACTGACCAATTAGAATCAAGTATTTAAGAGAGCAACAGAACAACTCTAAGGCAAAAAAAAAAAACACACTTGGCCCTTTACAACAAAACTCCAAAGCCAATGCTACGCCCTGCACATACCTTAAACCACTGTGGACAATAGGGCTCTGTCATATCCAACCAAGTGCAGAGTTGTGATGCACATTCAGGATACCTGACACCTCACAGCTGCCAGCCAACCAGCCAATCACAGATGCTCTGCCTATCTAGCTCATGTTATGTTTTCGAAAGTGCAGACTTCTGTGACAGAAGATAACAGGGCACCTGTATCACCCTAGAGTTATTATGGGTGAGTGGAATCACTCTTCTGATTTAATTATTAAATTTAACACTAGTATTCTAATACTATTAAAATAAAATGTAAAAGAGAATGTAGACCTATTGTTTTAATTAAATGCAAATCTGAACATTACTGAATAAAAAATAAATAAACACACACAGCAAACGAATAGCACGAATTCCTTGCAACATCATGCCCTTAAATTTACCGCCTCTTCACATTTCAAATTGTAATGGCTTTTCTAACTGACCTGAGAAAAGCTGTGAGGGATTCAAATGAGAAGGTCTGACTCATGGGGTGAACTCAGCTCTTCCCAAACCGAGATGGTAATATCGCCTTTGAAATGTCCATTATGTGAAATATTTTTATTTCTTCAATTTCTTTCAATTATCTTCCATTTCTTTCACATTAAATTAAATTAAATTAATATGAAAAAAAAAAAAACATTTTACAAACTTCTTCCCCTCACAAAGCGCGAGGATGTACCGTAATAAGAAATGCGTTTCTATCATTGGCTACACGTTGTGATCATACTGCAGTGTATGCATCTCACTAAAGATACATTGTCCTTTTATAGCCACTAAATTACACGTGGACATGACATATTATTAATCAACGATCTCAAAGCATGCAATGAATCCACTCATGGAGACACTCACCCCTCGAGGCGAACAGTATGGGGTCGCTCCGCATCTTAAAGTCAAACGCATCTAACTCCGGGTAGGTAGGGGTTGCAGGCGTGTGTCCGACAGCTGCTGTATTTCATTAAAATCCGCGCAACAGAGCCGTCTCTGTTTTCCCCTCTTTCTCTCTGTGCAAACCAGCAGAACTCCGCTCGCTTTCCGCCCGGCAATGTCTCGTTTCCTCTCAAAACTTCCCCTGGCTTTCTCCTCGATCCTGACACAGACAGAGCAGCTCTGTTCGCTTTCTGTTTATCGAGATCCCGACAGCACACCGCTGCGCCTTCGAAGGGAAGCTGCTTGGAGACTTAAAAGAAAATCGTTCACTTTCTCTTCATGTCGTGCTCGGCGAAAAGTGGGACCTCCTTCCTTTCTATTTAGTTCCCTCTTTTCTCCGCCCTGTTATAGGCTATAGCCCCACTTCTCCAATTCCACAGCTGGATACAGCGCATGTGTGTGTGGAGGGGCACGATTAACGAGCACTTAAAGGGTTAGTTCGCCCATTTAAGACATGAAGTTGTATGCAATCCTTACCAGCACTACAGTGCATACACACTGACCCACTCTGTTGTCACCTCCCTGGTCAGAGTTCTGGCCGATGGAAGTTTTTCAATAAAGTACTCCCGGTTATTTTCCGGGGCCACAAAACTGTGCGTTTTTACGTGAAAAAATGATTTGCGTTTCAAAGCTTGATTAATTTACCACACAAAAAACACGCCGGTCAAAATTCATGTACCTCAGTTTTAATCGGCACTATTTTCTATCCATTTCTATCAATCCGCGCTGCTGTCAACGTCAACAGTGCGCACGTTCCGATCAGCTGTTCCATAGTGTTTACACAAATGATTTACAACGACGTAAAAAGTATTAAATTAACAATGGTGCGAACTTGTAAATTCCCAGGCTGTGACCACAAGGATGTGCCGCGATCAAAGTTCAGATTCCATCGTATTCCTGTTTCGAATATAACTATGAGACAGCTTACCGAGCATAATCTCCATCTGCTGTTAGTCGATCTCACCAGCAGGGGGTGCAAGCGCGTGTTGTTGATTTGGCTGGTTGCTATCGGCTACTCTGCGGGAGCTAAAATATCCAGAATAAAGGATTTTCGTGTGTGTAGTGCTCACTTCAGCGAAGACGATTACATCCCCAACCAAGGAGGAAAAGGAAAATTAAAGAGTTTTGCACCAGTACCACGGGTAAGCTCTATTTACTAACTTTATGATCCCATGTCTAAACTGTACGGTAAACAAGCTGATGTTTAGACTCCATTATAAAACACGTGAATATAAAATATATATATTCTAATATAAAAACAGTATACAGATATTGGTACAATTTGCTGAGAAAACTATTTGATTGAACACACACACAATTGAGGTTTTGTGTTGCAATCAATAACATTGTCGTTGTGCTAAAATTACTTTCATCATCTGATCCGTCTGACATTGTGCTAAAATTGGTTTCATCATCAGAAGTTTCGTAGTCAGACATGTTGTCAGCGAGTCGCGCTATCAACAGCTGATCGGAACGTGCGCACTGTTGACGTCGACAGCAGCGCGGATTGATAGAAATGGATAGAAAATAGTGCCGATTAAAACTGAGGTATGAATTTTGACCGGCGTGTTTTTTGTGTGGTAAATTAATCAAGCTTTGAAACGCAAATCATTTTTTCACGTAAAAACGCACAGTTTTGTGACCCCGGAAAATAACCGGGAGTACTTTATTGAAAAACTTCCAGCGGCCAGAACTCTGACCAGGGAGGTGACAACAGAGTGGGTCAGTGTTAGGGGTGGGAGAAAAAATCGATCCATCGATGCATCGCGATTCTCTCTCCAACGATTCTGGATCGATTCTGAGAATTCCAGAATCGATTCTGAGCTTAGTTTTAACCAGATGTGCGATGACGTTTGGTTTAGAAACACCCGTATTCTGCTTGATTCCAATTCCTCACACACATACACCACTCGAACCTTCCGTAAAATAATCTTTCATAAAGTTCGGAAAGGTTGAAGCGAATTACAAGGACATTCACAGGCTTCATTGCACACGCTGTGAGAGACGCGCGCTTTCTTTGATGTTACACTTGAAGTGTGCTGTCTCGCCCGTCGGTAGTTTCCTTACAAATGGTCTACGAAGTCATCATTTATGTGGTTTGGAATGCAGTGGACTTATATATTTAAAATATGAACCTCACTAACAGAAGGCTGCTTTCAATTTCAAATGCTGACGCGCGCTTTGTTTGTGAGACTACTCGCGCATGCGGCTGTGCGACTCCGTGTAGGGATTTAATGTACTTGTGCAAAATTAACGTAAACACAGCCAGTTATGTCTTAAGGGATTAAACGGACAGGACACACCGCATTACTTCTTTTAGTTCAAAAGAGATGCGTGCGTGAATACAGCTCAATAGATCTCCCGCAGTCTATGATGTCATAGTAAAAAACAACAGTAAAGATGAAGAAAAATCACTCACAGTTCTTGAATTGAAGACGTTCAGATAATCTATAGGCTACTGGAAGCTCTTTTTGTTTGTTGTAAGTTATATTTTTCGATGCTCCTCTTTATTATTTGTTCTATTAGTTTAAATTTCTTAACATAGAACTGTTTTAATAAAAATAAAAAAATGTGTAAAAAAAAAATTAAAAGTACTTAATTACTTATGTAAACTAATGAATTAATAAGGGGGGGAAAGGTAGATAAAGAATCGTTCTGGAATCGGATCGTGACTCCCAGAATCGGAATCGGATCGGATCGTGGGGTGACCAAAGATTCCCACCCCTAGTCAGTGTGTATGCACTGTAGTGCTGGTAAGGATTGCATACAACTTCATGTCTTAAATGGGCGAACTAACCCTTTAATGTTTAGTGAAACTTATGCAATGATACGTTTATTATTACCATATTTAAGATTAGAACATTATCTCAGAATGATCAAGAATATCTGTATCCTTGTGTGTCAAAGAAAACTTAAATTAATACATAGCTCAAGAAAAGGATAAACTCTTTAGATTCTAGTTCATATTGATCTATTTTCGAATAAATTGTTCTCATCAATCTTGCTCAACTAACAATATTTTAAATAAATAAATAAATCGTAATTGTAACTGTTTGCCATTGTATGCATGTAGATCAGACTAGACCAGACGAAAAAAAGGATAGCTGCTTTATTCTAGCACAAGTGAGCATTCTTCTCTGCCAAGTCTATACATGCATTTCTATAAATCCATCATCTATTTATGGATTAATAATTACAAGTCATTCATCTGAAAGGGTCTATAAAAAGTGAGAAACTCTATAATCACAGCATCAGCATGGTTGAAAACAGCAGGGTCATTGATGTTTTAGCGCAGTCTTTCGTGGCTAAAAAAAGTGAGTTTTTTCCAATAACCTTAGTCCCTGTTTAGGGTTAGGGTTAGGAATACGGGGGGATGGGTTCAGGCCAAATACTGAGCTCGGAGCCCCCTCCTCGGACGACATGCCAAATACGCATACCATTATTCTATCTGACTTACTTGTAAGTGTGAACTCAAGAACTCCAAGTCAATGTAAAGGCTTGTCTGGATTGAAAAACCATGTACACATATGTCGGTGGCCAAGTGAACTCGTGTGTGTCAGCAGGATATTGTATCTGGACAGTGATCCATGTTTTGACCTTGGCACAAAAAACAACTATGCTCTGACATCATACTGGGGAGAGAATCAAAATTGATATGCAGACATTAAGTCCACCCAAAGTCTGCAGCACAGCGGAGAGCAATAGTATCGTTGACTCAGAACTTAGTTTCAACACAATGCCTGCATTCCCCACAGTATCAGATTCAACACTGTATCAGATTCAAACAAGTGCCAGTTTTACGATAACATACTTATCTGTGTTCTGTTTGTTTAGTTGCTTTCCTTTTTATCAGGTGGGGTATACTTTGTGTGTTTAACTTCGGTTGCAGATGTTTTGATAAAACAAGAATACTCATATGCATTGTCAACTGCTTCTTGTGGCATCACATGAAAGTCATGACAAAGCATTGATTATTATCTACTCGCATTAAAAAAGGCGCAATCTATTATGTGGCGAAGAGTAGAGAGTTAGGTTACACTGAACTAAATCTTTGAGGTCATTATAACTGCACAATTCAATACAGTGATATCTTAGAGGAGTCAAAAGTATTTAGAGAGATACACCAGAAGAGCTGAAACCCATTAAAAAAAATAGGACATCTGTAAATTGTGAAACACTTCAGTGTTGTCTAGAATCTCAACTATTGAGTCATTTAACTAATTTCTAATGAAAGAAATACACAAATTTTACTTACACAAAAACAAAGAAAAACATTTGATGTTAACCACAATATGAGTAAACCACATATAAACTTTATCTCTTCCCAGCTCCAGACACACCGTTAAAAATGAATTGTGACACCCTTCTAACATGACTTGGTCCTCACATCACGAGCTCAGGATGTTGAAAGCAGGGTGGAGGCCCTGTACTAGCAAACTGGTAACTGTGGGGAGTGTAAGCTTTAAACAAACAAATCTCTAATGAAGCATTAAAGAGCCTGGTAGCCCAGTTTCCTCTGGGTTCCACTGCAGGGCATTCATTACAGCAAAGGCTATTTTTTCAGTGGCAACACATGAGCTGAATTCACATTCTTATAAAGTGAATCTCATAGAATGTATCTCTGTCACTCATCAGTGAGAGAGAAAATATTCAACAGATGCTCCACTGTCCCACTAATGATGGCCTTCAATACCAGCATCTGTGTAGTCACATATATCAAACGCACCGGGATCATCAATAAGAGAATATCTCAGCTGTGTGATTACATTCATCTCTGTGTTTGATTATATATGTACTATCCATGTGTGTTCACATGAACATATGAGGAAAATATTGAGGTTTCAATTATGAAAGGATGGTTTAAAATATACGTCCATAAATGTGTACTTGTGTTTATGAGTTTGTGTGTGTGTGTGTGTGTGTGTGTGTGTGTGTGTGTGTGTGTGTGTGTGTGTGTGTGTATATAATTACAGAGCGTTAACTCCTAAACCACAGCGGGCAGAGGGGTGGGAGAGAGGAGCCACTGGTTACAGAAACCTTTAAGAATCATCCTTCTAGAGGGTGGGGGAGACTCCATGGTTCCTGGGAAACTGAGCAGAGAAGTGAGTGTATCCACTTTTTATGAATTCTCACCAGCATTTGAGTATTTGCCTTCCAAGTTCCAACAATTACTTGGGATGAATTGAAGCATGAGTTTACCATGTACAGGATGATCAGTTTTCAACATTGATAATAAAAAGACATTTTTAATAAACAGATCAGCATATTAGAATGATTTCTGAAGGATCATGTGACACTAAAGACTGGAGATATGGATGCTGAAAATGCAGCTTTGCCATCACAATTTTTT